CGGGTATTTTGTCGCATACAAATTTACACCTATTTGGGCTGGGACACTTGCTTTCCCCGACTCTAAGCCGGAGGCGCAAGCGGAGGACCCACCGACTATTAAGCTTGTTATCTACATATATTTTCCCTTTCACAAGTATATTATTGTATCCTCACTATCTTTCTAAAATCCATGCTGGTCTGTCTGAAATATCTTACATTACAAACGAGGAGGCGATACTAAGCCCCCTAGCGTAATAAATATCGCAAAGATTAAAACTTCTCTAAGATATCCTTATTTCCGCTGGGAATATAGCAGTAGATGGAGCGTCCTTGTTTGGTAATAGTTGCTTTAGACGCTTGGTGTTTCATGGTGTTTATACTTGAATCCTTCTTACTAAAAAAACATATTGTGCTATTTTCAATATATGGTTGGAAGTATTTACATGAGAATTGCTTAATAATATATTCGAATGAAGATACTATTGTACTTATCCGATTTTACGACCTTTTGAGTTTTCTAGTCTTTTTCGCGGACGAGGAAACACAGATCAAGACCAATAAGTTGGAACATTAATTTGATTCGAGGGTGAAACAGCGGATGACTTTTTACTGACACTAACGATGGCCACTAGTCTAAAGCTCTAGGACGAATTGTATGCTGACGTAGATTCTCCGTGTTGCTAGTGTTCACTTTCTATTAAGAGCCGTCAAACAATGGAACATCTACCGCTTGGACTTCATATCTTGAACCTCGCGTCAAACGGATTATGGCTGGCTGTACCCATGACTGCGTTGAAAGTTTCGATTGGCTACTAAATATGTCATGATGATATGCGAAAGCTAATTCTGAGAGCATCTCGTGGCCATTTGTATAGTTCGACTTTGAAATAGCCGGTTGCCACGAATGCAAAATTGTCCCTCACTATCTGCCCAGGCTTCAATTTCAAGAGTGATTTGGACTCTAGTAGGATTCTGCGAAGCCGAGATCAAGTCTTGGGGATAACATAGGTCTTAGTACATCTTTGCGTTAACTGAACAGTAAATTTGCCGTGCTACATAACCTTGCTCCGAGTCTTCTAGCTCAAACCTACGCCAGAAGAGCTATACGTTTAAGAGGATATAGCGTGTAAATATTAAGCGCAGAAAATGACTACCGGATAATGATAAGTTGGTAGAGTCATTCTTTATCAGAACCATCATCCTCCGTTCGAAATATATGATCTGGGTGAGTCAGTTCTGAAGACGTTTTGCACTTGTAACAGAAGTCGAAATCATCGCAGAATGTGCAAGAAAAGACAGGACCATAGATAGGCTGTATATATGTCAATAAAATCATTAGCTTTCAGGATGAACCAACTTACGCCGATGCGGCATCCATCACAAAATTTTGAAAAATCAGCCCTGCCTGGAAGTACAACTCCACTACTCATCTCTTCTTTCCGAGCCTCGAAATACTTAATGAGCGTTTCGACCACGGAATGTCGATCATGATACTGTGCAACTCCTAGCGGACTCCAGTTGTTCAGCTTTTCTTTCAAATTAGGGTCTGCACCAGCGTCAAGAAACAGCTGAACGACCTCTTTGTCTCCAGCTTTCGCAGCCCAGTGTAAAGGAGTCCAGCCATCGTTATCAGGCTGATCCTGTTGACTTTTTCTCGGGTATTTATGTAACAGGTATTCAACTATTTCGATGTTGCGACTACACGCACCATGGTGAAGTGCATGCCGGCCTTGTCCATCAAAGTTGTCATATATTTCAAGAACAGGATCATCGTGGTTCGTAACGTCAAGGCCCTTTTGGACTAAAAGTGTAAGATAACTCACGGGGCCCTCTACAGCCGCAATGTGTATTGCAGTTCTTCCCTGGATATCCATACCACTGACATCAGCACCGCGAGTTAACAATTTGTCCACCACCTCATATGAATATTGAAACACGGCTGCTTGAAGCGGAGTTGGCGAGAATGTCGGATGTTTCTCCGTATCGAGTTCATTATCTAGCATCCTTAGCGCAGCCGTGTCATGATCTGAATGTATGGCGGAGAAAAGAGGCGTTCGGCCAAGATGGTCCTGGACGTTCGGGTTGGCGTCAGCTTCAAGAAGTTGAAGGACAACACTCTCGTCATCCTTGCGTGCACCGAGTCCTAACGGCGTCTCTTGGTTCTTATCCTTGATATTGAGGTTTGGTTCTGCGTTTAGAATCAATTCTACCGGATCATTTGCCCCACATTCAACAGCCCGATGCAGTGCTGTGAGGCCCTTGCTATCTTGAGTTTCTATCTGAGTAACGGGGTCTTGCTGAAGCAGCAATCTCACAACTCCTCCACTACCCAGCGACGTGGCCCAAGAAAGTGGGTTGCGGCCGTCATAATCAGTAGACAAGACACTAGCTTTCGCATCGAGAAGCCTTTTCACGACATATTCCTGGCTTTTAGCTGCAGCCCAAGATAATGGCGTACGTCCGCTTTTATCTCTCGATTCTATTTCAGCAGTGTTTTCGAGCAAGACGTCGACTACAGCAATATTCCCTTCTGATGCTGCCCAAGATAGGGAAGTGCGGAGATCTTCATCCTGGGATTCAATGTTGGCGTTGAGCCTGGAAAGGAGCTTTACAGTGGTCGTTTCACCTTCCAACGCTGCCCAGATTATCGGTGTCCTACCGCTCTCGTCCTTAGACTCCAAGTCTGCCCCGCCAAGGGTGAGAAGGAGGAATACTAAATCATCATATCCACCGGCACTAGCGAGTGATAAAGGAGTCCTATCTTTCCCATCTTTCTCGTCTGGGCTGACCGAATTGAGATCAAGAAGACGCTTCGCGATTTTCACATGTCCGTTCTCGGCTGCACAATGTAGTGGTGATCTACCAGCATTGTTCTTCGCTTCTGGGTCTGCTCCCGCTAAGATAAGTAGTTCAGCAACGCCGAGGTGTCCACATATTGCACACTGATGCAAAGGCGTATCCCCGTCCTGATCCTTAACCTTTACATTTGCTTTTCGATTTAGCAGTAGGCGTACAATCTCTACCTCTCCCATGTGGCTTGCAAAGTTCAGCGCCGAGTATCCATCACTATCTTGACTTTCGAAGCTCGCGCCTTTGCCTAACAATAGGTCCACTATCGTGATGTCTATACACCGAATGGCCGCAAGTAGAGGAGTAAATTTGTAGGCAGTTGTTATGTTAGGCGTAGCATCTTTGTCTAAGAAAGTTTGGGCCATAGCAGTAAACCCGTGCCAACATGCCCAATACAGTGGAGTTTCGTTCTCATCGTTCTTTACAGTAACATCCGCACCCTCTTTTACTAGAACGTTGGCTACATCTTCGTTCCCTTTCATGACTGCAGCAAGCAACGCAGTAGAGCCAGATGTAGTTGGAAGACTGAGATTTGCTGGTTCCTGTCCTTTGCGTTTCTCGAGTAGCAGCTCCACTATGTGTTTGAAATCATTGAAGGATGCCCAATAGAGCGATGACTCGCTCTTTTCATTCGCAAAATTGACTTCGGCGTTGTGGTCTAGCAACAGTCTTACTGTTTCAAGGTGCCCTCTTTTCGCTGCCATCAATAAAGATGTAGAGCCGTGAGGCTTTGCATCCACGGCTACACCTCGCTCTAAGAGAAGTTCTACAATTGATGTGCTTCCTTTCTTTGCTGCCCATAATATCGCAATTTCCAAATGTGGCCCTGCGTGACGTCCACCGGCCTTCAATATATCGGAGACCATTTCATCGGAATTTGCTTTAATGGCAAGCGATAAAGCACTTGTCTCGCCATTGGTGCTGAGGGTGTCAAAAGAACCCTTTGAAATAAGCAACTTCACGATTTCTAGGTGATTGCTCTGTATCGCAAACATCAGCGGTGTCCAACCAACTCTATCCACTATTTCCATCTTAGCATGCTTGTCGAGCAGTAAACTGACGATTTCCTTCCTCCCCAACCGTGCCGCATAGGATAGCGCGGTTTCTCGAGATGAGCCACTCTGTTTCTGGACATCCGCACCAGCATCGATGAGTTGCTCCACAATTTTCAAATGACCTGCATTTACAGCCTCTGAAAGAAGAGTATAGTTGGAAAACTTGTCGATCTCATTAACATCTGGTTTTGCAGTGGCCCGAAGAAAGTATGCGACTATTTCCTGATGTCCATTGATGACAGCCCAGAAAATGGGCGTGTGAGCAGAATCGCTTTTTGAGTCCACATTCGCTCCTTTGACGCAAAGTAGTTTGGCCATGGCAAGATTGCCATTCTCCGCTGCCCGAGCTAAGAGTAATCGCGGAGGCTTACCATCTACAATATTCGGATTCATTTCAGGCTCATCAAGAAGTCGTTTAACGATCGTGACCTGACCCTTCTCTACAGCCCATGAAAGGGCTGTCCGTTCGTTTTGATCTACAGCCTTTGGATTGGCACCGGCTTTGAGAAGCAAATCCACGATTTTGCTGTATCCACCAATGGCACCGAGTATCAAAGCAGTTGTGTTTGTGCCATCAGGTCGATTGACTATTTCAACGCTCGAAGATTCGTTAACAGTGGCAGGAGGCCTTGCGTCATTCGGATCTCTTCTAGGTAAGAGCTTCTCGACCATGTCTGAAGATCCGACCTTTGCTGCAAAGTGTAAGACGGTTTCTCCTGTTAAAACGTCTATCTCACCAACCTCCACGCCTTCATCCATCAGAAGTTCGAATGTGGTGTTGAGCCTTTCTTTGGCTGCCCACAAGAGCATCTTACCACCGCTTACCTTTAAATCTTCCTTTTGCAGTAAAGATTTAATTATCTTCTTTAGAACATTTTGCTCTGAGGTATGCGTTGATATGTAGTTTTTGTACTCGTTCAATTGTCTAGTAAGCTTTTGCCTGCTTTCTTGCTCCTCGGCCTGGATTGGCGTCTTCGCGGGCTTGTTCAACTTATCCTCCACACTTTGTTTATCACTTGATGCTTGCGCGAATTCCTCGTCCGCATTGCGCTTGAGTTCGGCTGCTATCTGCAATGCTGTTTTATTGTTCTTATCCCTCGCTTTCGTGGCTTTATTTGCATCATCCTTTCTGAGAAGTTCAGCAACGACACCTACGTCGATTTTTGCTACTGCAAGATGAAGTGCAGTCCGATCAAACCTGTTTTGTGCGCTGATCCTTGCTTCGCAATCCAGAAGTAGCTTGACAATAGGCTTTCGGCCTTCGATCGAAGCAAAATGTAGAGCAGTCATACCCCAATAGTCACCACTACTCAGCTTCTCCTTGTGCAACGGACTCTCAAGTAACAAGCGAGCGGCTTCTTCATTCCCGTATTTTGCGGCCAGATGCAATGGGAGAATCCCATCGCTCCCCGAGTCTGCCTTTCCGTGCGCGTGCAAGAGCATACGCACCAAGCCCTTTGTGTCCTTGCTCTGATTCATTACCGCATAGTGCAAAGGGATCCGGCCGGCAAGATCTGGTGTACTCGCCAAGCTACGGGCATTTTTGAGTATTTCTGACACCATGCCTGGAGCGTAAATCACGGCATAATGAAGAGGGGTCCAGCCAAGAATGTCTGGAACTTCTAGATCTCTTAAGTTATCTTTGTTGATATCTCCGTTCCTGCCAATAATTTGCTTGTAGAGAGCTGTGTGCCCGAAATCTGTCAAGACTTGTCTTTCAGGAGATAATTGCATTAGCCGTGCGTCTTTCGTTGTAGACTTCTTGGCATCTCCTTTGGGGACATTTTCGTCTGCTTGCGAGGGTAATAAGGAGTTATAGAGCTCGAGGCGCCTTTGCTTCTCGAACAACACCTTAAGGCTCTTACTGACTGGCTCCAAATTCTTCGATCTGAGTTGCTTGATTAAGGCAACTTTGGCGCTTTTCAGCTGAGCTTCAGCATCCCCAGCTGTTCCTTCGTCTTTCGCCGTCGCAGAGGCTGTGGTTATTAAAAAGTCAACTGCTGTTGCCACGGCTTTCAAGACAAATTTACGATTTGACAGCAAGCTTTTATCGCAAAAAATGAGTAGCTGGAGGTATAATTCGTAGGCTTTGTCCAGTTGGTAATCTTTGTGATTTTCAGTTGCTTTCTGGCGCACCATTTCCACCAAACCCTCACTGGGAAGTTTATTTGCAACGCTGAGTGGAGGTATTATGAGCAGATAAGCATCCTCTAAGGTACTCAATGCAGCCGCTTCAACGGCTTTCGCCATCTCACTTATCTTCTGATTAGAAAGTTTCAGCGAAGTCCACTCCGGAACTTCCGGTTTAAATTTCATCTGGCTTTGATGGTCGACTGTGGTTAACGGCGTTATCTGGGAAATGGGTATGTGATTAGCGATTGCCCACATGAAAGCCGAGAAAATATGTTGGGCTATGAATTGCTCCATTGAGACGTTAGTAATCTTTGCCCAGCATGACGGCTCAGCTCCGCCAATTTTAGGGTTCTGATTACCTAGACCTTCTAAGCTTTAATTCATATTCAGTGGTTACAAGATACTTACTTTGGTGGCAATAACCTAAACTCAGACTGTCGACATCCTTCCACTCGAACTGATCTAAAGCCTCTTCGACTCCATCGCCAGCCCACCAGGCCAGATCTGTCTTAAGAACGCTAGTAGCAGGACCAAGCACCCGACGGAAAGGCAATCCGATAGGATCGGGCTTTTCCTCGGTCGATGATGTCTGTCCTAATCGTGTATTTTCGTGATTCTGGTTTTTGAGATGATACATCCATAGGGATAATATCGCTTCCAAGTCTTCTTCGGAAGTCGTCCATGACGACGCGCTGGATGTCACCTTACTCGCAACAAGTCTGAAGTTTCCGATCTGCCGCGGGGTATTCTCATATGTGTTAATTTGAACGTCTATCGACCAAGCAAATTTGTTCACTGTCTCGAAATCAAACAATTCCATGATTTTGCCAATCGCCTTTGCAATGCGAGCAGCATGTTCGGAGGAAGGGGCTTTCCACTCGGTGAGATTTGCTAGCCGTTTTCGGATATTGATTATCGCATGTACTTGTTGAGTCATTTCCTCTTGCGTCTTTATATTACGGTATTTTTCTTTAGTGTTTGATTGATCTTGCTTTATGAAGGGAGAATTAGATGGAGCAAATCCTGGTCGTCCCGGTTCCCCTACCGTTACACTCGAAGCCCTTCTCCCCTCTTCTGGTTTCACCAGCTCGAATTTGGAATTTGTAGGATAGTTCAGTTTGTAAGAAACTTTCCAGCAAGAAGTCACCGAATTCGCTGAAGACCCGCCGCGATTTACAGATTGCGTACTTTTGTGAAATAGACCGCACATTCCTAGACCACAGTTGAAACAGGATTGCTTTGTTGGACCACTAAGTGAATTTAGGTATTCACGATCGAATCCGAGTCTGTGAGAAAGCCAGTCAATCTCATAATCCGGAGTGATTTTCTCCGTCGCTGGACTATCCAACATGCCTCGACGTATTATAGCTCTCAAGATGGTCATGATGATGATAGCAACAAGTTGGGCGATAGAACATGCCCAGCTGATTCCACGAAATCCTTCAAATTGGAGGATAAATCCAGTTATTGATGCGAAAGTACTGATTATGCAGAGGATGTTGAGCGATGTAGAGACATCTGTTGATCCTTCTACTTTTCCCGTTTCTTGAGCGTCATCGTGAGAAAGCGGATCATTATTGCGACAGGATGTGAGGACGGTCTTCTTCTTCCCTTTCGCCATGAGCATGAAAGAATCAAAGCTTTGGTCGCTGACAAAGATCCCTTTCTGAAGCCAAAATACCCGAAGGCTAGTTTCAACCACACTTCCAGAATCAGGTGTCGAGGTACCCCTTTTGTGTTTGTCGAGATCGTCATCAGTGGAAGACTTTGGCTTGATTTCCCACTCAAACTCTTCTGTGCTATTCCCAATGACTAAAGCGGAGAGCCACATTCCAAATGCGAGTGTGATGGTCCCAGCCAATAAAACTGGATACGCATAAGAACTTGGTGGACCGCCGACACGTTGGCCGAATCGAGAGTTGTAAGCAACAAACCCTGAAAAAACCAAGACCCCTGACTGAAGTAGAATACCAGCGGCAGCAGTAGCCACCAACTCCCATGTTGCTTGGTGCGAATGAAGGTTTAGAGATATATTGGGGGCTCTATCTGGCCGGTCGACATGAAAGGACGGAGGCTTTTTGCGATGACAAAGATGCTTGATTAGCGGACCCCGATATACTAAGTAGGATCAGTTTGAAAATGAAGCATAAATGATATTGGTCGTACATACCCCGCTTCTCCATGTGATATTTTTCTTTTGCTTGAGTCAGAGTAAACAGGAAACACTCCTTTTCTGCATCCCCGTAACCCTCTAGATAGACAATCTGTTTGACAATTCCTTTGCCTGTCGTTCGGACAATCCCTTCACCGTTCCAAAGTTCGCAAACCTCATGCGATGTCGAAGACATAAATTCCAGCTCCGCCAGAGAACGATTCTCTCTCGCCCGACCAATAACAGCTTTTAGCCACGGAGGGCCACCAACCCGAATTGCACCCACGATCGCTGTAATGATACCCAAAGGTGCCATGGCGAAAACAACATGGTCGAGCCATGTAAATGACTCCCTAAGAAATTGTCGGGCGAAATTCTCGCCGAACAATGCCAACAGCCTCCACGAGCATTAGCAATAGTCTAGTTGTTACTGCAGATATACTTACGGACCTATATCAGAGAATAAATTGTTTGTGACATCCGTGCCGCTTGCGTCCACGTCCGAAGTAAAGAAGAAGAGGTAGAAAATTAGAGACAACATGATTTTATTCCGGTTCCCAGATCAGGGGATTTCGCAGTAGTGAAGGCAATTCTCAAGCGTAACCAGATTGATCTCGGTGCTGAGGAATTTCAGTAATGTACGAGGCCAGAAAAAGAAAGAACGGATTGATTGTATGATACAGATTATGATCAGGGTACTATTTCAGCACTCTTTAAACATTGTGTAACCCCAGAGGAGGCTCAGTGCTCATGCATCATCAAACACTTCCCATTCGAGAGCAGCACGGCACGGCACGTGCATAGCGACCAATGAAGTTCTCTTAATTATCGAAGCCCGCACGCCTCTCTGCTGAAAGAAGGCTCAATTTGACCTTTCCCCAGTTTCAGGAACTCCCAATCGTATTATTAGCAAGTATTGCCCTGTCCATCATCGTCGATCCCAATGGCGACTCCGTTCTCAGCAGCGGCAGCCCCGACCATACCTGCAGGTCTTATCCGTATGCACCAACATGATTGCTCACACGGATATGGGTAACATTGAGCGTGGCCAGCTCGACCTAAGAATTTAAATACGCGATAAGGTTCTCAATCTGCTTCAGATAATCGTAAAGTTTGCCGCGCGGTGAAGGTGGGTTACCGGCCATTGACCTTGGATGGACTGCAATCACAATTGCTCAAAATGACAAATCCAAAGACTGGCTATAGAAAAGAAGAAAGGCCGATACCACAAGATCTCCGTTGATAATAATAAACAGAAGGTTGTGATCAAGACAGCAGCTCCTCAGATAACAAAAAAAAGGGTTTCGCTACGGGGGTCAATAAGCACGGTGCATGAGAGCTCGGTGTGAGTATATCCAAAATAATGTGTAAATAACCGCGTACTATTATCACACCCCAAAACAGCAATGTAATCACCCCTAAAATACATAAGGTAGGTACCCTACTCGCTAACCGTCACCGTATTGAGATCACGACGAAAGTGCACGACATGAAGAAGCTTTGTTGCAAAAACAAAAGCCTAAATGAACAACAAATTCCAAAGTAATGCCTTGGTAGCAGTGCTAGACCAAGTTGGGCTGGATTGACGTTCAGCTGAAAGCCACCAAATACTACCCACCACAACAACAATCAGCTTTGTGTGCAGGGCAACTGATCTGACCATGCAAAAGCCATTGATTCATTTAATTACGCCAGGGTAATAGACCCCCATGGGCCCCCGGAAGATGACGCCTTTTATCGGCACGTCCCAGAGTGTCGCACAAGGCTTTGAGATGTTCATGCAATCGCAGGCGCAAAGTGGCATGATTTGTTTATAGAGACAAATGAAACGAAGAGCTTCTTCTGTTCCCGTTGGTCAAGCGTGAGGTTACCTGCGGCTTTCGTGGCCGTATATGTGTTATAACCTTGCCAAATGAAGCCTCTAAGAAGTATGGCGCGAATATCACAGTGAACGAGAGACATATTATTGAAGCTACGAATTGACAAAATTAGAGAAAGAGGCTATTAGTCGAGATAGCAAAGACCCAAATTCGGTTTTCTTAAGTTTCTACACAAGGAGGTATTCAGGGATCCAAAGTACTTGCAGAATGTAGTCTTTCGTTTGAGAAATCAAACAAATTAGACTGTCAGCACCTGGCCCACACCAACAATGCCCAACCCTCTCATTCGTTCTCGAATACTAACCCTAAAGGCGATGCCGGCTCAGCCAACCAGAACCCGGATTCTACCAATGTACTCTTGCGGATCAAAGACCCGAGCCCACTGAAGCGACGAAATGCCACCTTTTAATATTAAAAATATACAGATTAGGAAATCTAACTCTTCTCGTATAAGCTATGTTTCCAAAATTGTTCAAACTCTCTCTCGTTGGAAAGTTACAATATCAAGAAGCGCAATAATATACGAGGTGATTTGAATGCGTCACACAAGCAGCTAATTGTCTCCGATATGAACAGCACGGGCAACCTGCTTCTCGGGACGTCTCGATCAACTCAAAGGCTCAAGGAGACTTTGCACTACTTCAATTACTTCACTTTGAACGATCTAAAGGAGACAGCTCGAACCGAATGTTGATCGTGACAACGAGCAAAGGTGTCTCAATGTTGCCTGAGCTCCGAATAACGTAGCGTGATTAACTGGCATTCTCGTGCAAGATAGATCATAGCGAACTGGCTTTAGTAGACACCCATATCTCAATCCGAATGAAGTTTTCAAAATTCGAATTCTGCAATAAGGTCTGACTAACTCAAACCCTCGACATAAACACGAAGCGAGATTCTTCTCACCTAACTTCCCCAAATGTAACAACCCCTTTGAAAATCCTTCCAAACCCGTTCAGCCGTAAAAATAATAATTGTTCGAGACTGAATTCAATCCACAATACTAACGCAGACACTCAGCAGTCAACGAGCTTCCAGTCAACTACCATCCCTACAGCGTCGTGTTTGAAAAGTAGATTGCTGTTCGAGAAAGGGGGGTGAGGCACGCTAAGCTGCGGATCGGCCCGTTGCAGTTGATTTTAGTTAGTGTCTCGCTTAAATACTACTCGAAAGCTTATCATCGAGACTGATATTAGAAGATATTGAGCTGCTAGGTAGGAACATCATATTTGTCTAGGGTGAAGGAAATATTTGAAACCCCTACACTTTCCAGCTACTTCTCATCAAATTTTGAGTGCTATAGCTCGATTCTGGCAGTAAAAATACGATGAACAATTGCTGCAAATTTCTCATCAAAGACATCGATGGATAATATTCGAGTGGCGCGTTAGGAGAACCTGTGTAAAGGTTGGTTGTTAATCTTTGTTTAATAGCGAATCCTACTCGTAACCATTGGAAATTTAGTAGTTTCCACATCGCACAGAGCTATATTTTGGGTACATATGTTGCTGTTCAGCACTTTGATGAGGTAAAATCCTCAGCCAATGAGATTTTTAAACATCTAAACAACGGTACCATACATGTAGCGTTGGATGCCTGGTGAAATCCGACTCACCTCCTCACCAATCCCTCCCCTCCCCCTTCTCCTCCCTCACTCTAACCCCACGATCATCAAACCTACCCCCCTCCATGGCAGCCCTCTTCTCTTCATCCGCACCATGAGTCTCATCAAGATACCTCTTAAAGCTCCTCGACATATCCACAATACTCCTGAGATGACCATCCGTCAGCACCACTCTCCCTTCCTCATCCCTCACATCCTCATATTCCGCTAGCGCCACCGCAGTTTGGAATGCATTTCTAATCTCGCGGCCATTCCAGCGAACCTCGCGCATGGCTTTGCCACGGATGAATTCCTTCGCATCGATAGAGACGCGGATGCTCTGGCCACGATCACGGGCGAGTTTGTCGATGAAGGTTTGCCAGACGCGTTGGCGTTCCGAGTCGGTGAACTCGGGGTAGTAGAGTTTGACGTGGATGCGGGAGATGAATGCGTCGTCGAAGGCGCCTACGCGGTTGGTAGTGAGGAAGAGGATTCCGTCATAGAATTCGAGAGCGCGAAGGAAGCCGGCAACGAGGACGTTGCGGTTGAGATCGTTGGTGGAGCGGCGTTCCATGAAGACGTCTGCCTCGTCGATGAGGAGGACCGCGCCCCAGGAACTGGCTGTTTTGAAGCCATCGCTGAGGATTGATTCGATTCTTTCGGGAGAGGCCCCGATGTCGCTGGATGTCAAGATCATTAGGGGTCGTTTGGTATACTCTGCTATGCATTCTAGTTGCCATTAGTAAGTGCTTCTGAAAGATGACTTTGAAGCCATTTAATCCAGTGAAGTAGTGCTTACCAGCTGTACAAGTCTTCCCAACTCCCGGTTTTCCGTGTAGTAGAATAATCTGTCCCTGTCCTTTTCCCTGAATAAAATCCGCATTCCAAGGGTCGGTTTTAAGTTCATCGCCGCGGATATTTTGACGCACATAACTTCCAGCAAGAGCCTTGAGGGTGTTGATTCGAATTGGATCCATGACCAGGTTGTCAATCATATTTTGTTGAAAAGTAGGATCTCGAAAGGTCTTCACATGCAGTCGTTCTACCCGTCATTAGCGTTTTGACAGAGATGGACAGACAACCAAACGAACCCCAAGTCCGTGTTTTGAACACAAACGCCCATAACTTCCGAGGAAGTAGGAAATACCGATGCGGATCCAAACCTTCCTTTTCCTCGGGTGTAATACCATGATAATCTCCGAAAATGTCTATTTTCTTCGTTTTCTTTGCTGCTTCCTTTCGTTGTTCGCACACAGAGCATGGACAGTCTGTGATCCAATTTTGATCTGGCCTAAACCACGATACGAAAGGCTTAGTAGACTTGTTCCCATACCCTGAAGAATCGAGTTTGGAATCGACATCGTTGAAATATTTTTTCATATCTACCATTACTAAACCGTCGACCTTGGAAACGAGATTAGTGCTTTTTGTTACCACATCGTGTTTAATTGGTATGATAAGAAGAGATAAATACCTGATTGTGAGGAAAGTCGTATGTTTTCCCTTTGTAATACTGGCAGGTCTTCCGTAACAATCGAAAGCATTTACTTCCCTCCTCAACCAGCTCCTTGACCCTTTCTCCAAGCGGCTCTTCAAATTCTTTATCCTCCAAGATCTCTGTATCCTTACAACTTCTCTCGCCCTCAAAACGCTCATCGGTGATGGATCTGCTAGTGGTACCTATCCAACTACCATTGTACTCAAGACACCAGTGCGACACATTCCACGCCCCACCTCCAAACCCTTGGATCCCGTCCCGAAAAGATTCAATGACCCCAGTACTCCACTCCGAGGAGTCGGTGGTTTTATATTTCATTGAGCTCCCAGGCTTTTGACGCACCCACATCATATCGAAAGTTTCCAGACCCTTCATATTTCGTTCCCTTTCGAGCCTGACTTTCGGCATAATCCTCTGCTCCAAGAATTCTTGCACGAGACTAATATCGTGAAAGGCGTCTCTTTCCCTGGGACAGATTGGATCTTTGAGATTCGATGGATGACATCTTTCCTTGTACTCGTTGAGTTCTTTCTCGTGATGAACCAATATCATATATGGGGCCGGGATTACAACTGTCTCGCCCATTAAGCTCTGGCCTGGGTAGTACCGAACAACAGATCTTAGCGCGTGGATGACTGCCTGAGAATGAATATGCATATCAATTTTTCGTCTTGTATCAGTAACAATTGGTGCAATCCTTTTCATAGGTTGCTCGACTCCTAGTGGGCCACTCTGAGAGAAAGAGGTGGTGTCTGTTTTAAATTCCGATTCCGGTGTGAGAAAGGTTGTAACAATATCAAATACCGTACCATGAGCATCGACAAGCTCGTAGTCTAGTCTGTTGGTGTGTACGGAATGCACGATCTTTTCGGTAGCAGCGTGGAGATACTCAACGCGGTATTTGACGCCTTGAGGCGGCGGTTTTCCATTTGAGAAAAGTTTCTTGTCGTCCTGGCGAGGCTCTGCGGGTGGGATTGCTGGACTCTTGCTATCGTTCATGATCACGATCTTTTCCACGTTTTCAACCACGATGGTCTTGGATTCTTCAACCATAGCTTGTCTGTATGCAGTTTAGGCGACAATATTTCTTGAAAACATCAAAGAAGCACCAAAGAGGTAAGACCGCGCAACAGGAAGAAGCCACTCGAGGCTGCAGTGCAGAGGTTGTGCAGATCGAGTTTCTCAGTCTCATTTGCTTGCTGAAACAAAAGTGGGGTAGGGCGAGATTCAAGATTATAGCGGCTGCGATTGGCCCCCACGACCAAGAGATTGCCTGTCTGCATAATGTGGATGCCACACCGCATCAGCCGCAGGTGATGAAGCTCATTGATTTGGCAGAGTTTACCCAAGACGGCTCCAAAGAGGCGCAGGCAACACTAAGTCGCACCTTGTGAGGAATGACCTCGAAGTGATTGACCGTGAGGCTGCCGGGAGAAAAATGATTTTCACAACTTTAACTTTTCAATCGTGTTGGATTCCTAAGAGACAAAGATGTTGAACAGTGATTTTCGATAACATAAAAGCAATGTCTGTCGCACCAGAAGCGGGGCAGCTTGTACGATCATTCAGCCTCGAAGTCGAGAACCAGCTTAGGCCAGAGGTTCCTGTCAATGATTTGCGCCGGGTTTTCGTTCGGAACGAGAGGAGACTGCAGAAAGAAGAAGAGGAAAGAGAAGACTGGCGTTCATATTATGAGCCATGGAAGCCTGTTGATGCGGACACGTACGTAAGCTCGAGAGAGACAGTCATATTTGTTAACAATCAACAGAAACCCAACAACCATAGTTCTAAGAGAAAAGGCAGTACTTCTTAGCCATGCTTGGAAAGTCTTTCGTATCACACTGCCCAAAAATGAGCAGGAAGCTCTTGAAGGGACAGTGCCTAGTGTGCAGGGGTTGATCGGGATGGTAGAGAGTACGTCCAAGAGGTGGCAGGATAAAAGGATGACATCTAAGTCCGGCAAATTTATGAAGCATTTCACAGGCTTCTGCGGCACTTTAGATTCCCACTCGTATATGCTAGAGGTGCTTCCAGGTGGAAACGAGTATGTTTCATTATTCACCGGAGTGTTGAAAACCGTTGTCAACGTAGGTGAGCCACAATAATCAGATTTATGGCTTTACTGATGATTTCAAGGCAAGCGCAAATCATGAAAAGATTGCTAGCAGCTTTGGAGAAGCACTGCTAAGAATAAGTGTCCATATTGAGGCTTGTGAGAGAGAGGTTCGCTTACATCGTACCAAATCTATGCAAGAGAAGATCGTCAAGCTATACGCTCATGTATTTCTTTATCTTGAAGATACTATGGAATGGTACCAGAAGCGGTCGCGAACACATTTTCGAGAGGCTTTTCGGCAGAATTTCAACGACAAATTTGAAAGTACGATCGTAAACATCCAGAATCTGTCGCTTGACGTACTTCGCGAAGCAAATGTATCATCGATGGCGGAAACCCGCCAGATAAGGTTGACTGCGGAGGAAACGCTGGACGAATTGAAGTTTGGGCAGATGGACGCCCGATTGTCGTTGGACAGTGTCGCTCGGAAGCTAGCAGAGATGGAATATCAGAATAAACAGTTGAGGTTAGAACTGCGGAGGGAAGCAGAAGAAAGACAGCAGCTAGAGCTCAACAAGACTATGCGCTTGGAAGAGTTCCGTAATAGTCTGGTTTCGCAAATCGGCACAGGCATGCGTCATGAGCTGGAACGCGTAGCGCAAAATATGGTGAATGATGGCATCTGGGACGTTCGAGGTGAGTGTGCTGGTGAAATGGTGAATCACAAATTGGTGTATATAAGCCTTAAAAAAACCAGGTCAAACGCGACGTACCGTAAACTTTATCAACAGTTCCGCTAGCCACACAATGGCCGCTCAAACATACCAACGTCAAGACGTGATCCTAGGTTCGAACCACCTACTCAACTTCTTCTCGGAAGGATCGCTCGAAAAGCCTTACTCTCCACCTTACAACGTCCTCAACCTCGACCAGAACGCCTCCTCTCGCCTAAAAGAATGGACTACCGATTCCAAAATCAATCTACTCGCCGTCGCAGGCCGTCGTCCACACGGCCATGAACCGCCTCCTATGGCAATGCTCGCATCGATGTGTATCGAATATGCCGTCGCAGCGAAACTACCGGTGATATCTTACTTCTGCTGCCTGCCACAAAACGATGACTTGCGCGAAGGCAATACGAAGGAGGTTCAAGGGCTTCTCTCTCTGATCTATGCTATGATCCGACAACTTATTAACCAACTGCCGGCTCAGTTCTCGTCCGAGCTCAATCTCTCGTCGCAACGATTTGCTGACCTCCAGGGTTCTCTGGCATCCTGGGGCGTCGCAATATCCCTACTGAAAGACCTCGTTGATATTGTTCCTAGACCTTTGTTTTGCATCATCGACGGTCTCCAACTCCTAGACGACTGGAGCACAGAGACATTACTCGAAGAGTTTATCGCGGTACTGAAGGAAGGAAGTTCGAGCGGCGGAGACACCGAAGGCTTGAAGATTTTGTTAACGACCACAGGTCGATCAAGAGCTCTGGTGAAGTGCTTGGAGGCAAGGAATCTCGTTCTAGCAGATCGAGATGGTGCTGCAGATGGTTCTGCACGTCGAGCAGGAAATCGAAGGTTCTTGTTTTGACTTGACCGTTGGTTTGTTGTTGTATCGTGGGTAAAGTTGGGGGTGTACCTAGTGCTAAAGCTGAGTGGCGCCTTGGCGCAGTCACAAGTACCAGCCGGCGGCCTCCTTCAAACGCTCTTTCCCTCGCTGTTCCCGAACACAGTAAACGCAGAATGCGGACGCACGATCACATCCAAAGATGAAAAAGAAAATCAAAATAGTGACCCCTATTAGGATCGAAATCTGGCTGCCAGTACGACTGTTATGGTCACAGAATTACCCAACCTCCCCCTTTCATCAGCCCCCCCAGGTGTTGAAATCTGACAGATTCTCGGATTCTCAATCATCAGTTGTTCAATGCAAGTCAGAAATCGTCCCCAGTGGGGTTTAGGTACCCGTTCTCGCGAACTGGATATAAAAGCAGGTGTGCAAAGCCCGATTGAGCGGTTGCGGCTAGGACTTGGGACATGGGACTTTGGGACGAGGCCTGCCCTATTGGGCGGCTGAAAATTGAGTTTTCCATATTACATCCTCAAAGCTGCTTCTACTACCGAAATAAAGCCGCATTTGTATATCGATTTGAATATTTCATATGAAGTTCAGCGAGTTGTCTCGGTAATCATGATGTATTCTACAAACAGAACATTTTCTATGGGAGGGAAAATAGAAGGCATCATAGTCTCTATCCTGTATTTTCCCAGCATATCATTTGTCATATCACAACAAGTTGGAAGGAACAACATACCCTCGTGGTAGAGAGATCCAGATCATAATCACTAACAAGAATAGCGCCAAGTGGTTCACTTCCCCTCCTTACATCTCTTGTTCGAACCTTTAATCAACATTTCTCTTTTACTCTTTGCTCTCGATAGTCAAACGCCACCATTCTTCTTATACCTCATGATTATCGCCGAACGCATGATATGATCCTACCCTATGAGTAATATCTGTGTGTATTTCCATTTCCGTTTTGCACATCTTCAAGCGTCGCATTCGATCGCAGTTGCTACAGACCATTACGCTCATCCTGGTTTGCCTGACTTCCTCTAGATCTCAATACTCTCCTTTGTCGCCATAGTCATCGTCGCAGTCAAGCTGTTACTCCTCAGCGTCCTCCTCGAATCCCCTTTCTCTAAAAATCTCTACTACACGTTTGTTATCGAATGCGATTGCCGCTTTTAAAGCTTCAGGTCCATGAATAGAACCTCGGTCGAGCAAGAGCTCCACCGTCTCTTCAATCCTCGTCTTCCGTCTTGGCTCGCCTTCGGGTTGGATCTCTTCAGCCATAACGGTAGTGGCCGCAAATACAAGGCCATGTCCAGCGCTGACATCGACGCCAATATCCAAAAGCCATCTTACCATTCCTACATGCCCGCCCTTAGCTGCCCAAGTCAGAGCTTCGATCCCCTGTTCTTCTAAGTTCGCTCCATTTCCAATTAGCACTTGGCCAATTTTTGTCAAGCCCTCTCTGCCAGCGATAGAAAATGCCGTCGCACCATCTTCGGCGACTTCATTTATATCTGCGTTATAGCGAAGAAGTAGTTGTACCATGTCCATGCTTCCTACTTCCACCGCCGCATGCAATGCTGGGTTCCAGTTTTTACTGCCGTGAACGATGGTGCCGTTCCGAAGTAATAATTCTGCAATTTTCGTTTCTCCTTGACCATTGCGAGATTTTCTGATTGCAACATGCAGGACAGTCGCATCTGTGGGGTGATAAACGTTGATATCTGCTTTTTTATCAATTAGGAGTCTAACAATGTCTTCTTTTTGAGATTCGACGGCTACGAAAAGGGCAGTTTTCTCCATCGCTGTCTCATTCACGTCTGCGCCATTTTCAAGCAGGAGTGTAACGATCTGTTTTTGACCGCGTAAAATGGCTTCATGGAGAGCAGAAAAGCGTTGCAGAGGGGAACGTTCAATTACCGACTTGTGAGAGAGCAGGAGCCGGACAATTTCGAGTCTACCGCCATTGCAGGCTGCGACGAGCGCATTACCAAACGGACCTCCAGGTAGGTTCACTTCGGCGTCGTTTCTCAGTAACAACTGGACGATCGTAGAGTAGCCCTTTGAGCAAGCTATATACAGCGCGTGCCCTTTGCTACTAACATGGTTGACGTTGGCTTTGCGGGATACCAAGATTAATGCCAGAGCGTAATGGCCATACCGACAAGCGTAGTACAATGGCTGGACACCGTACTTATCCTCCGCATTTACGTCGACTGCTTTATCCAAGAGTTCTATAAGAATTTCCTTTCGGCCAGCTGCAGCTGCACTGTGAATTGAAGGCATGGCCTGCGGAATCGGCCACCTCGCTTCTCGTGTGAGCCAACGCACCCCTTGAAGCTGGGTTACGTATAGCATCGTGGCAGCAGTAACCGCATAGCAATTTCTATCGAATCCATCTCTGATCCCCTCCGGGTCGAACGGATTGCGGAGGAGTCGGATTTGCAAGATGGCCGCTATAGCACGATTTGCGCGATCCGGCCGATCGAAGTCTGGGCCCTCATCTCCTGGTCGTTCAGGTCCAGCGAGTAACTTGTTGAAAGACTGCACGATGCCAAGATGGATGGAAGGAATTTGCGCTATATGATAATCAAAGTTCTGTGCCGCGTAGAATAAAAATGGATTGCTCTGGATGGTCTGGTGAAGCTGTTGCGGGTCCTGACACGGCCCATCTTTTCGAAACTCAATCTGGAGATAAAGAATACATGCAATAGCAAATTCTTCCTGAGCCTTTGCTCTATTGAGAACACGCTCGTTATTCATATCGCCAAAGTTGTTCTCAAGAAAACTCCAAATGGTGATATGGATTGGGCGAACGATAGAACTTGGACGCTCCACGATGAAGAAGCCTCCACACGCGTCGAGGATGTCTGCTTCCCTGTATAAGTTGAGTTCTTTCCGGTTGGCCACAGGCGCAGTCATGGCAAGTGCATCTCTCAGCTCCTCTATCCTTAAAGGACGTGATGCGTATAACACAAACCTAAAACACCGAAAGGCCAATGCCTTCAGAGATGCTGCTTGGGTGTTAATGCGATGCAGCATTCGAGCGTAATATTCGTCAAGACCTTGAGGAAGATTCCCCAGCACTTGTTCTACATCCCGTTCAGTCTTTTCCTCACATATAGTCTTGAGTTGAAGCTTAGGCACGAGAAACCTGAAGGTCGGCATCAGCATCCATCACTTTTGGCATGAACCAGACTTACATTCCATCAGCTTCGGCAATCAACTTTTCTATGACCTTTTCTTTCAAAGTCTGGCTATATATTCGCAGATTTCCTTTATGAATTCGAGATTCAGTCTCACCCTGAACAAATGCTGTGATATCTGGGGCAACATCCTCGTTCTCAATTCGGAGGATGAAGGCGGCATGTTCTTTGAATCTTTTGGCTATGTCGGCTTCATTGCGGCTAATGACAATTGTTTTCAATGCAGCTCCTTGAGTAAGCTCAAAATCACTGTCTCTCGTCTTTTCACCCTTGTTGTACTCTCTTCCCTTCGAGGGATCTAAAATGAGCTCTAATGTCCGCCCTCTGGCATCTTCTTGGCACTCATCGAGGCCGTCAACTATTATGTAAACCTCTTTGAACAACTCCGTTAGGTTCCAAAATTGCGCTTTACACGTTGCTAGGTTAGAAGTACGTGCGTCGCCATGGTAGGCCTTAAAGAATCCACGAAGGGATTCTGAGAGCTCATTCCGCTTCCAGCTGAGCTGCTTGATGAAAGATAAGATTACATTCCTCGGGTCTTGCGTGGCAGTATCTTGGAAATTGCAATATGCATATGCAATGCCAATGTCGTCACTCAAGGCATATTGCGTTGAAATGTAATCGATAACATTTGCCGCCAGAACGGATTTGCCACTTCCCGGCTTTCCATGACACCACAAGGTAGAAGAACTTGAACTATTGAACCATTCCTGAAAAAGCTCCTTTCTAATGAGCCATTCTGTAGTTCCTAGATGGGTTTTCTCAATAATTTCATCGTGTATCTCTTCGTAGTGGATCTTGGAGACCCATTCAAGAAAATTTGTGCGTTCGTCGATCGCATTGCGGTCAGTGACAATTTTAACCAGATCTCCTAACTTCTTGAGGGCATCCTTTTGGTCGTCGAGGGAATCAGCTTGAGCGGCAAGATGAACATTGTGAAGGTTTTTCGTTACTCGTGCTTCGATTCCGCCGAAATGCTCCTCGAAACCATTCCATTGCACCCTGATAAAGACCCTTAAATTATTGTATTCTAGCAAATCATGTTAGCTGACGAAAAAAAATATTTTCCCTTTTCCTTTTCAAAACAACATCTGGCGAGTGGATACAATATTATACAATTTCGCGCTTGCGATCTTAACAGAGCACCGGGTGCGAAAGGGGTAGCCTATGTTTTCCTGACACCAGATGCCTAAAGATGGTGAAAATTTTGGGATTGGTACTTACTCCGTAAGTGACCATTTGCCCCTACAAAAATCGATCTTGAACGGACGCAGAAATCAAGGAGATCGCCATAGACGTTAGCAAGTGCCTAACCACTCGATATAAGATCTGCCATAATAGGGACTCTAGTGGTACTTACTTCTTGAAGGATTCCATTGCACTTATCTCTGCATGTTGTAGAGAGCTGTTGCAGGATGTTTAGCCACTTTGAAAATTGGCAGAGCATATCCGACAGCTTGTTCCAAAATGTCACAAACCTCACTGCAAGATCGATGACGATCCGAACGGCCCCTACCACAATTGAAGATATTTCCGGCTGGCTCTGTATGCCGATCGCAACGCCTTGCATGAATTGATCAAGAAGGCGAAGTAACTTTCCTACAGGCTCGAGCCGTTTATGAATGAAGGACTTTTTGTTGTGCTCTTCATCGAAGTCTTTCACCATTTGCAAAATGGTTACATCAGTTATTTCATGGAACGCGTTTCCAAACTCCATCCTCTCTTTCTCCGATAGCTTTGCAAGATGGCTCTTGAGGGCCAGGTCAAAGGCTGCGTTACGGCCTCTGTGTGGGAAGTACACATGTCAGCACTTGCCTGGAAATCGTATCAACAGGATTATAGACTTCCGGACACGCACTTTTTTTCTAGATTTGCTACATCCTCCGAATGATGGTCCTTCAGGCGTTCCCTAGGTTCATTGGTCTTAGCCGACTTTCTGACAGTCTTTGGGCGAGATGCTGTGCGATCTTCCGGCCCCAATTCTGTGCGCTGTTGAATGAACTTTTGCAGCTGCCCGTAATCGAGCTTTGACATTGTAATATATTTTCTGGTACGGGGTCATTCGACGCAGCTAGGAGTCTTGGGAGCGAAATCAGCTGAAACTTGGGTTCTGAGAGATGAGGCTGGGTCAACGTGGCACACTACCGCATTTACCCCTGCCATTCTTGTCACTCATTAGACCAATGGTTTAGTGGCATGGTTGTTGCGCGCTTATATTACCACGAGTATGAAAGATACTCAATTTCCTCCGTTGATGAAATAAAATATATCGCCAGCGGAAAGCATAATTTCGGAGTCAAATCAAGTCATGTGAGTTCTTGGATGTAATCATGCCTGGGGGTCAGCCAGATAACACAGAGAGATGCGCCAAGTGCTGTTTTCGTGCTTTTTGACTTGATGAATTTTTCAACTTCACGAACTTAGTGATACTAAAATAATACGTAATAATTTATTGTTGGCGATAAACTTACAAGTAAATGTTTTTATTAACAGATCAAAATAGTCTCTGTGAGCCTTTACAGAAGTGTGCTAGTTTTTGACATTCTCTCTGATTTTTCTTTCAGGACTTGTTTCCTATAGACGACTACTCGGGCAGACTGGTGCCTCTCGCGGATTGTCACAGTATCCTGCGTCATGCACATCCATGCATGTCTTTCCTTTCTACCCTACAATTCATTTTCACAAGAATCATTGTCTTTGGACTATACAAGTATTTGTAGGAGCGCAAATTGTTAAATGCATTTATCAATTCCATTTAAATACAGAACTTTGAGTTCTCATATCCCGAGATGAATACCTGAGAGGTAGTAAAGGCTCTTGTTGCAACGCTTCCGTCAAATACTGGACTGCAACATCATGTAGAGACCTAAGATCGAGGGTCTGGTTTGGTAGCGGCGCACATCTACTCGATCGTGATCTCCATCATTTTGCCAAGCCGCAACTTCAAAGGCAATCGTCACTTCCGTTAGTTTCTTCACAGAGCCACTCTCTCGTCATCAAATGACCTACCCAGTACATGCTGCTCCTCGAGTATATAGTATTTTTTTGGAAAGAGAAGTCCGCTCACGTGAAACAGAATGATGTACTGATAACGACATATGCCGTTGAAACATGGTTTATGTTTAAGTCCGGAATTTGATATGGTGTCTCCTTAGAAGGTCTTAAATAAGATCTTTTCGTGATCTTTTTGTGATCTTTTTGTTTAAATCATTCCTCTTTCAGTTCAAATTGGACTGACTTTGACTCTGGTAAAACATCATCTTCTTTTGAAACGTGCAAAAGATTCTAGAGTTCAGACGGATTAATTTTTGGATAGCCCACCACCACAACAACATTATTTCTACTTGATAACACACTTAGTAGTTTTTAGCAAATATTGCCTCATACAACATAGATCTTAAGTTTTCAATGTTGTAAACCCTTGACGTTGTCAACATATAACAGGCGAAATGGGCAGACTTTCTGAGATTTTAGACATTTCCGATATCTATCTTGAATTGACCGCCCAACCTCGATGTCCCTGAGTTTTCGAGGATAATACAGTGCTGCGATTTCAGTGTCATTTGTTTTCCAATTCCCGTTGCTTCCACCATCTTCCACCACAGTTTTAGTAGCAAAACCCACCAACCACATGACACAATCATCAGCAAGACCCACTAGTTACTCAACCAACGAACTAGCTAGTGATTCCAATATCCACCCATCATCATCACTTGTATCTACTATTTCTAGACCAGACAACCCTCTCCCAACTTCATTCTTTTGTTTCACCGATATCGACATCTGCCAGCTGGACAGGTTCTATCCGAGTCACAAAAGTCTTGTCCTAATCTGTCGGAAGATATCAAGAGGTATCCGACATATTGGGCAAGTCCTTTCACTGCTTTGAATGTCCCTTCAATGTTTTCCGCGATGCAAATTCTGTCACCATTTTGCTACTGATTGTGCTCTGCGTTGAGGTTTATGTTTGCTTGCTCGTTGGCGCTAAATTATCTCAGTTGGCAACTTGGCACTGCTGCGTTTTTGTTGAATGAAAATTCTGCCTTCTTCTGAAATTTAAATCGACTCTTTGCGTTGATTTGTGATTTATGTTATTTTATTAGATACGCCAAACTGGATCGCTGGACAGGTGGCGACTGTATCTGTTGTTGTTCAACAGAAACGGTACACTTGGATTAATCCCCGTGTCGACTTGAAAGGTCCAGGAATGCTTCGTGTCATTTTAGTCTTTCTGGGATCTTTTCTGGTGAAGCATTTCAAGGGAGTAATAGCAGTTTCATTGCGAAGCTTTTCGTGTTTACGTTCGTGCACAATTGTCGCTTCTGCTATGAGATGAAATAACTTCACAAATGATAGCGCTGTACTGAGTCTTTTGTGATGTCATTCCTTTCTTCTGGCTCGAAAACATCAAGTTATCAAATTGTGCCTTCTGTTTTACTTTGGTTGGCAAATTCGTGTTTGTTCGTCAGTTCCACGCAGTACATCGCTCTTTCTTTCCAATCGTCACTCCCACGAAACATCGGGCCGAGAGTCATTCCGATTTGTATTCCGCGATCTTTCCTATGAGGATGGGCGATGAAGTGAGCTATCCAAGCAATTAGATATCAACTCTCAACCAGTACTGCTCTCAACTCTCAAGGACTTAACCAGTTTACGGGGGAAAGCGAAGAAACTGTGCTGAAAAGCATTGTATTTCTTTAATGTCGCGCGTTCGGAACTTTGTTTCCATGTCCCAAGCATACATACATCAGAGCATTCTCCTCTCCTACTCCTGGCCCATTCATTTCTTTGTCTTGGCCCCATTGATTGAGCTTTTACATTCCGCGCATAACTCATTCAATATCTCAAGCAAAAATCACATCTCCAACTTCCGACAATCAACCCTCTTTCTTCCAAAGCCCCTCCCACTAGACCTAAACACCCACAGATCGTCACCAAAATATCCACAATAAACCCACCTCCCATCCCATAACTCCCCTTTATAAATCATTTTAATATATACCCTTTTAACAAGAATGGTGCACTGGTATCGACATATACATTTGTATGCGACCCGTTGAAAAAAGGGGGGGAGTCACATGGCATCACCCATCTGTAATCCTAGGGGGCTTCAAACGTGTCTCTAGGGGGCTTATCAGGTTCGTCCAGGGGGCTCACAGAAAATCAGTGGTAATTGGGGGCTCAAAAAATAGGGATAGAGCAGGAACCACCGTTCTCCAGGTGTTGTAGCGTGTCTCTGGTGAACCGATCACTCACACCCAAACCTGTTATCCTAGGGGGCTCAAACATAGGGGTGTGTTATAGGTACCTTCACTTGGATAACTGAAGGCCAGTATACAATGAACTTGTTCATAGCCCCGACCCGTCATCCTAGGGGGCTCCAAAAAACAACGATCACCAAAAAATAGGGATGTGTTATAGGTACTCCACCACTAAGCCGTGGAGGCCAGTATGCAATGAACTTGTCGATGAATTCGTTCATAATCCCGACCAGTATCCTAGGGGGCTTAATATTCATTTTGGATTTTTTTTTGTTCTGAGGAGTTTACATGGAGAGTTAATCTGATTCTTCCTCGCTTGACTTGCAGGACAACTTTCTGATTTCTCAAACTCTGTTCCACCACTTCGTGGTTTTATGTGCAAATGGAAGTCGCAACATTATTTTTTACATTTTCAAATCCCAACAAATTTCGAGGTTATGTTCGTCTAGAGTCACAAAAATGTAAGTGGAAGGAAACATTCTGATTCAAAATATAGAATCTGTCATCTTCAGATTAATCTCTAAGCTGATTTACATTTTCTAGAAATTGTCGATAAATGGTAAGTCTTTCTGAGGTTCGTTGATTGTTGCTCTGTTGCAGTGGAAGTTGCGTTTTGTTAGAGAGTACACCCGCACCTACCATTCTTCGGGGCCTTCTTGACACCTCATACTGGTGAGAGTACTGGATCCCCGAGCAATGACACAAGATCGGCATCTTCAATGATTTTGTACGATAAATTCAAATGATCTCATAAAAAGTTCCACCAAGCGGCAGTATCCTCATGCAAGTTATTATCTCAAATTTCGTAAAATGAAGCGTGACACATAATTGGCAAATTCCCACCGAAAATCATGTCCCGTGGGTTGCTCCTTCCTCTCCCCTATCCCACCTCGCTAAAGCCGGACATGCGACCATGGCTCGACCACGGTCCACGCAAATTCGACATCACCGCACTCAAAAGAACTTCAATCATTAATTGCGAAGCATTTTTGTTGTCGCATGCTCAAGTTAAAAAGGTTGACCGTCGAAGAATAATAGCAAGAGATGTGGGTACATAGCTTTCTGTGGTGATGTCTTCGGGGTAAGTGGTGAAGTGATCCAGAGGGCATGGCCTTAAACCAGTTCCTGATTTGGGGAGCATATATTTCTTCCACTGGAAGATGTCTATTAGAATAATAAAGAATTTTTAAGGTCATAGTATTATGAAGTTTCCCGGTTGAAGTCGGACTGTACATTCCAGTTTTTGTGAGCTCTCGACTTTCAGTCACTGAGCACACCTAGTGAGTAATTATTTACAGACAGACCACTTCTTACAGCATCTGATGTAAAGCTTAATTAAAAAAAACAAATCTTCACTTTTGAATATACCCAAATTCAAAAGCGTTTCGAAATTTGCATTGCCGAATTATTTCCAAATAACTCAACTATTAGCCATCGGCTTCTTAGATTCAAAGTAACTGTAAAAGTCCCCCGCTCTCTGAAATCCTTCCCCTAATTCTAAGCGCCTTGTTTAGCACGATAGACAGAATTCTGTTATCTGTTAAGAAAACTTCCATCAAAACAGTCTCTGCAAGCGCACCTTCAACTGCCCAATTCCATCAAAGCCGAATCCATCCCAAAAGGTTTTTTACAACAGTGTCTAACCTAATATAGTACAACTCGCCCACCCCCAACTCCACCCCCTACCCACTCAAACCTCACTAACCCCCTCCTTAACCACTCACAACCCTTCAAAATCCCGCACTTTCCCCGTCAACGCCCCCAAATCACACCTCTATATATCCCCAAATACCGCCATTTCTCACTACCCGTTTCATCTATATATCCCCCAATAACAAAAATTGCTACCGTCCCACGTCCCTTCCGCATAAATTGGCCAACTGGTAAACATTACCCATTGCCAAAGTCCCGTCCGAATAAATACCAAAAGGCAGCCTTTGGTAGATCCTTCGAAGTCAAGATGAATATTCTTTTTGCAAAAACTAGATTGGGGTTGAAGTACACGGTATGTTGCATCTTTTTATTCTTAGTCATAAAAAGGATAAGGCGTCGATATCTATAATTTCTTCATTTTTTGAGTGAGACATAGTACTCCCTCTCCGTCGTACAAGACACTAATCTGCCCCCCTTAACTCCCGCATTTCCCCCGCCTTCTCCTCCCCCGTTATAACCCTAAATACCAAAAATTTGCGCCGTCCCAAGTACGCAAGTCCCGTCCCCTCAAAAGCATTGGCCAACTGGTAGCAGAACCTCTTTTAAACCAGTCCCAAAGTCCCCGTCCCAAAAATATATCTCGTCAAATAAGTTCAAGGGCTATTTGATTGATCCTTCGATTTTTGCTTTTTGAAAGAGGAGAAAAGATTTTTTGCATCTTGTTTTAGGTAGGTAATAGAGGGTGTGTTTTTGCGTTTTAATGTGCTATGTTCTGAAATTTTTTGGTGGGAGATTTACACTCGCTCTAGAGGCTACCAAGATGGCCTTACTTGCCCATCTCCCTCAGAATCCCGCACTTCCCCTCCCCTCCCCCCTTTATAACCCCCATTCCCCCAAAATCCCCCGTCCCGTCCGCTCCAATTGGTCAACTGGTAGCCCATAACCATCTTTTCCTACCAGCCCAATTCGTCCCCGTCCCAAGAGTGAGTCACTGTAGTAAACACAGTGGCCACAAAACTACATGAAGTTCAACTTTTATCTACTTTTGTCACCACCGATTATTTTTGTGTGTGGTGGTGAGTTTGTTTTTTTAGGTACATGTGGATTTAATTTTAATTGCATAGAAGAGGGAGGAGGTTGTCTGCGGTGTTATTACATAGAAAAAAAAAATGTAATAGGGAAATATATACGTCTGTCATTCAACAAAACTTTCGACTTCTACTTTTTAACTCACGAATGACATGTACACATGGCGCATAACTCATTTTCAGACTTACCTACCTATCCATCTTAGATACTTCCCCAACCTCTCACCAACCACAACCCACCCATCCCCAAAACCCGCACTTCTCCCAGTTAATTATCCCTTAACTCTTTCAACAACGCGCATTTTCTCCGTTCCAGGCCGATTACGCAATCAGTCACGCTCGCAAATCTCATACACCCAAGACCTACGCGGCTCAAAGAATGGCACAATTTTGGCAACGAAGATATCTTCAAGATTCTCACCAAAGTTTATCACTATCAAGCGCCTCACAAAACCCACGTAAAATAACGATAGCTAAATTACTAGCAAACATACCCACCCAAACTCCCCAAACGCCTCCTCTCCAGTCCCTCACTTCCTCGCCCGAAACTGCACAAGCGGACCTTTCTTCATACTAGTAAAACAATCCTTCAACTGATATTCTCCCTTTCTCTCCCTTCCCCACTCCAACCCTTGTCTCCCCTCACCAACACTCGTCCCCTCCGCGAGCTTGAAATCATACAACCACATCGTTCTCGCCAGACTAGTCATCAACTCCGCATACGCCAGACCCTTACCAATACATCCTCGTGGACCTACGCTGAATGGACAAAACGCAGATTGTGCGAGTGCGACAGTATCTTTGGTCTCTGCTGGCGACTCGGCGATCCAGCGATCGGGGTTGAATGTGAATGGATCGGGGTAGTAGGAAGGATTGTGATGAATGGCGTAGTGTGGAACGCCTACTACAGTCCCAGCTGGGATGTGATGGCCGTCGATTTCGAGACCACCGGCAAGGACTTCACGAGGGAGGATACCGCCGACGGGTGGAGAGAGACGCATGCTTTCGTCTATAACAGCACGGAGGTAGTGGCAGGAGTTCAACTCTGGGCTGGTGTGGATCTGTTCTACGTCGTCGAATTTGGTGCGGATTTCTTTGGTGAGATTGGCGAGGGTAGAGGGGTTGTGAACGAGGTAGAAGAAGGCGCTGGCGAGGGCTGTGGAAGTGGTGTCGCTGCCGGCGATAATGAGAAGGTTGCTTTCACCCCATAACTCTGGGCCTGTGAAGCCTTGGCCGGTTTCTGGATCGCGGGCGTTGAGGAGGTAGTAGAAGAAGTCTTTGCGGTCTGTGTCGAGTCCGACTTTTTGACGTTCGGCGGCTTGGGCTTTGGAGTATGCCATGTACTGCATTCGCATGTTGTAGATCTTGCTGAAGAGAACTTTGTTCAACCCGAGTGTCTTGATGGTAGGATTCGTACCAAGCTATTCAGTCAGTCACCACTCAAAATTCCCGAGAGAATTGAACTTACAATCAAATGCATATGCGCCGCGTTCCCAATCAAATCAATCACATGTCGATTATCCTCTCTCTCCAACATCTCAAATGCCTTTCCAAAACACAAATCTCCCATCACATCAAACGTCAGATAATTCGCCCAATCCGCCATATTCTGCGGAACACTCCATCCCTTATCCCCAACTCTCTCGCCCAATCTCGTCGTAAATGTGCGCACGTTCCCTAGAATATACTTCTCCATACTCTTAATCGCCGAATCGGAGAACGCATGGGACAACACCCGTCGTTTGCGCGCATGTTGCGATTTATTGATCGAAGAATGCGTGTTGAACGTATCTTTCGTCGGCGGAAACACAGAGTAAAATTGCGATTTCTGGACATTGCTCTTGTGGCCGTAGATGGTTTTCAACGCCGTGTTGGTGTTTATGGAGAGCGAGTTTGGACCGAAGCGGAAGATCGAACCGTAAAGTTCATGGCAGCGGTGGAATTCGAGATGGCGATCGCCGTGGTAAGCATGATAGACGGAATACCAATCTGTGAGTTTTGCGAGGAGAGGACCGGGGTATGCGGAGAGTGGGTGGAAGTAGATGCGGTAGATTGAGAGGACGAGGAGCTGTGTTTGTTAGATGGTGAGGTTTGATGGAGGGGAAGGACTTACGTAGCCAGCAATACCACCAAACCCAATGACCAAAGCACCGAGTATGGGAATCATCTTGAAATCTCCAGTATGTAAAGATCTTTGTCTTCTCAATCCTCCTTTGCCCAAAGGATGCGATTTATATCTTCCGTCCACCCTAACAGTGTTGATTCACGTTCTTCCCAACTTCACTTCTTAAAAATGAACAATGAACAACAACAGAATTCATCTCAGCAGAAGAAAATCATCCTTTATCTCTCCTCTAGTCAGCTCCCCGTCATAACCGCACCTTCCAATTCAGTCTGGTATTCACGTCTGCATTGTCCAATCATGACTTGCTTCCCAGCCTTTGTGACACTTGAGCCGGTGTTAGCCGCGCGGGCTTGGGATAAGCGATCTGCTTAGTTACGAGGGTTGCCAATAGGAGAAATGATGAGTGAGAGTTAGCCAAACTCGTGATCTGAACCTTGTGTAGAGTTGTGGGGATAATTGTGTCAGGAATTTCGCGGGGTTTGCGGGGAGGTGAGATATGGAGAACCTGGGAGGTGTGCGAATACGAAGGGAGGTGAGGATGGCGAACGAGGATTAGATTTGTTAAGAAGCTAAGATATCTAGAGTGTTGAATTGTTTTTGTTTATGAACTGTATAATGTCAAATAGATCTCGTTATATAATTAAAAAACATTATCCTTCAAGATGCGGCGAAAGGCTTCAACTCTGAGAAGGTTGTACTTTATCACGTGACCTACATTGACTTCGACGATACCGCAGCAAAGTCATGCCCGGATGGTCTGAAGAAACATTGCAACTTTTGATATCGAAAGACTGAATTGAACACTACATCAAATACTACACTACAAGCAAATTGCTTCAACTCAACCATATACTCCGCACAACTCCTTGCCAGCCCAACGCCAACTCAAACCCTGATAACCACTCCCATCCCTATATTCCCACAAGATTCCAACAGCACTAATACACCCCTTCCTTCGAAACCACCTTTCCTCCCACACACCTCTCTTATCACCACCACTTCCCACTCAATACCTCGGCTTGGTCTTCTCCTGACACTTCCTACAATGTCCATACAGCTGTCCCGGCACCCTCTCATTAAACTCACTTTCAGGAAACATTCTCTTGTGTTTACTACATCGCTTCATTCTTGTTCCATCTTCGGCCGTTTCTACTGCGCTTAATGGACTGGGTTCGATGGTTTTGCGTTTTGTGCCTCTGGCTGGTTGAGGAGGTGGTTTACGATTGAGGACGGATGCGGGAGTCTTTTGACTTGTTTGCGGGAGTGTGGGTGGTGAGGTGGGAGGTTCTTAAGTTGGTGTTGATATAGGAGATTTCTGAGTAGTCGCAGGTGTTTTCGGGTCAGAATTCGTCGCAGGCGCTTCTTGATTCGAAGTCGTCGCGCGTGTTTGAAAACTAGAACTCGCAGCAGGTGTAGATACTTTCTGACTCGGACTAACCTGCGTCACAACAGGCGGTCCCCTCGGCGGTGCCATCAAAACCTTCACCGGCATAACCGGCGCGCGTTCCTGATACACACAGAAATACAACGTATAAACCGTATCCAAATGTCTCTTACACGCCCACTCCAGTCCTCCACCCTTTCGTACCAAACACTCATCTTTCATACTCGCAGCCATCGCATTTCCTACCACCTCTAAGAATTCCTCTTCGGGGATCTGTATTAGTTCTGCACCGTCGGTGTGCGATATCGCGTAGATGGTGATGGCTGTACATGCTTTCGCTTTGCGCGATTCGAAGTGCGCGATTCCGAAGATGGATGTGTAGGAAGACCAGGGGATGGGTGATGAGGCGATACGAGCGGGCCATTTGCCGGCGCAGTAAGACGCGAACCAGGTGAGGATCGGATGGTCGGGAGGTGTTTCTGTGGGTGGTGGGTTGATGATGGCGGTTTTAGGAGGACGGAGGATGATGTTGGGACAGCACATTACTCGGGTTATTTGGCTGGCGCATGTTGATCGTGGTGATTGTGGTGGTGCCGCGCTGGGAGCTGGATCAGGTTGGAGTGCGTGATGAGAACTGGCTTCTGATGAAAGGTCAAGTTGACGACGCGTGCGCATCTGAGTACGCGGGGGTGATTGTAGATCGCGTTGAGTCGCCATGGTTGAACGTGGTACGATAGATAAGATTGTAAAGTTGGTGATCTGGTCGAGGATGGTGGGGGACGCGACTTGATATGAGAAGATCCATGGGTTGTGAAGTGAAATAATGTCACGCTACGCGAAGGTGAATTCACCTATGTGTGGTTCTTACCATGTGAACGGCACGTCATAGAGAATCGATGCTCGTCAAATCCTGAGACTTTTACATATCTACTAGAGTCTTTTTGGTCGATAGATTCTGACATGAACAGAACATGTAGAATCTGCTTGTAAGTTCAACTCGACGATACTCAGGATTGACATACCACTACTACATGAAAATCCCAATAGAGATGCTCACCACTGTTTGTAACCGCTAGAATAAACCGACTTCGCCTTACCCTTTCCATGACCGTTTCCACGGTTCCCATCCCTCCACCTCCTCCAAAGCTCAACCGTAATTCCAAACCTATGTGCCATCAGAATTTCCTCTTCGGTAGACCCATATGGAAACCTATATCCCGCTGGAAACACTGTTCGCCCACCACCTGCCATTGAAATTTGTACCTCACTCACTTTAGCAGTTGAGATCTCCCATAGCCAGACTCTGTACATCATTCCTGGATGTGCCGAGCAACTGTATTGCTCATATATCTGTCGCTCGTCGTTGTAGTATGGCGAAAGCGCTTGACGGATGACATCGACGCTCGTCCAGTTTCCATTCTGTAAATCGACTTCGAGGTACGCTCCTGAGTTACAGTATGTAGTTCCCCAAGTTGGCACGAAGAATTTATCGGTAGGTCGCGAGTGCTGAATGTTCTGGAGTGTTGGTTGCTGGAAGTTCATATCAACGAAGCATCTTTCTAATGAAATCAAGTTTTTGAATGCCGTTGGGCCGGTAATCACGGAGGTAATGTCGTTCACTGATATGGTAGGACACCAGTGACTATCGTGAGCGAAGAAGCCGTTGGGATTATGCTTCATGATGCCAACGAAGTGGTCAATGAGGTCGTGCCCTTCGGCGTCGACGTTGCTTCTCATGAAGTTGGTTAGGTTTGTGCAGCAGAATGGCGCGTGTTGATATTGGCGGATTGGCTCTTGTTGTGGAGTAGAGTTTGGATATCGATATTGGGGAACTGAATGTTGTTGGAGAGAAGGGTCGATGCATGGATATTGGTTGATGGACTCTGGTTGAGGAGAAGGGGCCATGTGTTGATATTGGTGAGTGGGACTTTTCCTGGGAGAAGAGTCTATTCTATCTTTCATGGTCGATGGCTGCTGGGAAGGAGGGTCTGGTGGTTGCTTTGCGGCCGCCATGGCCGGTTTGCGTATTACTGAGTTGAAGATGTTAGTAATGGACGTTTGGAGTTGGCGACTGAGTAAAAACCTACGGTCCCTTAGGTTCAGCTTCACCATTGTGCCGGTAGGTGACCTTTAGTTCGGTTGTATACTATCTAGTATGCACCGGAAGCAATTTTCCGACATCAGTGCCAAAATAAATTTACAAAATATAAAGCAGTGTGGGATAAAGAATGAAGAATAAAGACAGTTGAGGGGAAAGTGGTATTCACTCATTGATCCTGAGTAGTTATCTGGTTCAGGGTGCCATAATTGGATATTGGCGTGTCGAAGTGAATTATACCACAATTATAAATTCAGATAACTCGATCAAATACGATAGATAAATTAAACCTAATTCCATGATGTTCCAATGTTAGGAGTAGGTATTGATTTGCTTGACAAGCAAGCACACTTGACCTTGGGGGGTTTCAATTCCATTGAATGGAACATGAGAACAACGCGACATCTTCAACCCCTGATGGTTAAGTGAGTTCCAGCGAATGCATGACAGCTCTATTCAATTTGACTCTTCGGTATTTCCATGTCGGTGCGCTCTCGTCACCCCAAGGTCTTGCAATCATTAAGACGGAGGGCGCAGTTCTCGGCCATCAAATGGGTCCAAATAGTAGTGGGATACAACAAATCGAGTACAGAAGTTCTGGAAAGACTGATCTGCATCCCGTGTTACAAACATGAGTGCAACGTCCTGTAGATCACCAGCACAGCTTCGGGAGTGCAGAACAGCACCGCAGATGCAGGAACATGATCTCCACATTGGACATGGAAACTCGAGAAGTTCTTAAGTGTGTTGGATACAGTCCTCCAATCTGCTAAAATTTGAGATTTAGTATACAAGGCTACATAGCCAAGTAGCGAGGCGTTGGTATAGTTGCTGTTCAAATGGGATGGACCTGGACAAAGTCAGTGTTCAGATTCTAACACGGAGGGATATAATGCTTTGACCTTCAGTTGTCAAACAAAATCAAGAACATGCGTGCAACAAATCAATAGATCATCTGTTGGTAGCGCGTTATTGTGAGTAGAAGATCTCTGCCAATTTCTTCAAGCCTGCAAACTAGGTTTAAACATATCGAAATCTTGACTTTCACACCCTTCACAACAGATGTCGTTGAAAATTCCCGTCCCAGTGCAGATCTCCAAGAATAGTGGCTGCGCTTCTTCCCGGGAGCACAGACGCCATGATTCCCCAAACATCCGAGCCAAGCGGTCCGAGACCCCTATTGGTCGCGCCGAGAAACAATTGCGCAATGTTTTCCAGCCTTCAGCTTCTGCTGCAACTTTTTTCAACCCGAGACTCCAGCTTTCACGATGTTTCATGCAGAGACAAAAGTTGCAATGACTTCACGCTTGTCCTTCTGAACGCCTATCACGACTATCATCACTCCGCAAAGCTCTCTTCCTAGCTCCTCGTCCTGCATTCGCGCTCTTGGAGCTGGTCTAGCTCGTCGCACTATTTATTTATTCCGGTTCCTGGTGCCCGCCACGACCGTCGCTTCGAGGTTTTTATTTATCCTTTGGGGCCTCCAAGTCTGCAAAAAGTCCCGGTTCTGCTGCGGATCATATACTACTCCAATGCCTTGGGGACGTGCAGGACACATGCAGCTGCCATTCTTGCCCATTCATCAATGCGGTTCTGGCCATTAAAGGCGAGGCTTCCCCAAGAGCTGTCCAAAGCAAAAGCCTCGACGCTATTACTCGAATACGAGGACCATCGTACTTAGGCGGCTTTCTGGTCACATCTTTCTTCACATTCATCTCTTATTCTTTGTTTACTTTTATTTTGGTATCCTTCTCGTTTCTGCGCTTTCAATATACACATATTTGTATTGCTCAATGGCAACTTTTTTATCGCTACCGCCGTCGGTCCTCGCTGCAGTTTTCCTATTACTCCCTAGCTTTGCGACTGCTCAGAAAGACAACGCCAAAGAGTGCTCCTGTTTTGTGACAAACGAAACATCCTCTGGCTACTTTACATCACATCGATTCTTCGACTTCAGAAACGTCGCTTCGGCGCCAGCCACAGCTCCGGCGATCATCTCGAGTCTTCCCAACACGACGAATGCTTTCTACTCGTCAGACTACTTTACCAAAGATACTTGGAAGGATGATTGGACGATACAAAATTGGACAAGCAGCGATAGTATGGTGACAAGCGACGCAACGATATTAATGGCGAATTCTTTGAGTAATGTTTATCTGGGTATGCTGAATTCTTCCTCCTGTTGGCACGATGCTAACCCCACCAGAAAAAAGCGACGATGCCGACCCCTCCTACACATCACACCTCACCCTCCGCACGTCACGACAACCAGACTTCCAATCGGTCGCCGAATTCGATAGCGTGGAACAAAACTTCCAATACCTCTCTGCTCGTTTCATGGCACGAGTCATTGGCTCACCAGGAGCTTGCGCGGGAATGTTTACATATCTCGCCAACGACGATCCTCAGCTCGTACAGGAGGCAGACATCGAAATCCTTACCAGCGGACCCCGAAACGTCGTACAATACACAAACCAACCTGCCGTGGACGCAGATGGGAACGAGAAACCGGAAGCTACTGTGAATGGCACACAGCCACGGGACTGGAGTGAATGGAACGTATATCGAGTGGATTGGATGCCAAAAAGTACTAGTTGGTATGTGAATGGTAATAGTGTTGCGAAGATCGAATTTCAGGTCCCAAAAGACCCGGCTGGTTTGATGGTCAACATGTGGAGTAATGGCGGGTCGTGGACTGGGAACATGAGTACTTTCGACGAGGCATTTCTACAGATTCAATGGATTGAACTAGTTTACAACACAAGCGGGCCTTATGGGGGTTCTGGAGCGAAGAAGAGAGACACGGATGACATTGGATTCAGTGGTCCATTGGAAAAAAGAAAGAAGAAGCAGCAGGGCTGTAAAGTTGTCTGCAGTATTGATGAGCAGGTTAATGTGACGGGAACACCTGCTGTGCTCAGCAACAATACTGCGGCGGCGCCGTTAGGCTGGAAGGGGGAGGGAATGGGGTTCATGGCGTGGATGCCTTTGTTTTTGATCAGCGGTACGGCATTTGGGTATTTGTAAATTTGGATAGTTGTCTTTGATGTTGCTTCATACGCTTATAATGCACAGAAATCAAAAGGTTATCACATTTTAGCATGGCGTATGGGATTGTTGTCTTTGGCACTTGGGTAGATGAATGCGAAGTTTACATTCTTGATTTTTAATGCTTTGCTTTTTTCTGGCTTTTCTTCGAACAAGGGTTTATCCTTCTTTACACACTTCTTGTGATGACTCAATGGGATCGAGGAATCATAATGGATTGCGCTGCGTTGAGTCGAGGAAGAAGTTGGATGAAGAGACAGGTGATGGAGATTGTTATGGTCCGTGCACAGCTATCAGTTTACCACGTGACGATCCTCGCCTTTTCCACAACGACATCTCATGACCCCCAGAGCAAATCTATCCATACCTATCCATACCTAGGTACCTAAGAGCGCAATTGTAAGAGTTTCGGAAAACCGTCTAGCTTCCAAGTCCAGGCAGAATCCTATCTATTCATAATGTAAGAACGTCGAATTATACTCAGAGCTTATATGAAACTTCTGGCATAAAATGAGTCAGTCTTCGATCACATCCTGGATGAGTTCAGCCAAGACCCGAGCGCGACGATGAGTAAAGGCAGCTTGGAGATAACACAAACTCAATTGCCTAGTCAGACAACTACACCTACGGCCTATTCATATCCTCCTCTGCTTTCCGACCACTCGTTTCGGCTCCTCAAGCTGTTCCCGGGAACTGGACCTGAAAGAATTACTGTACAGCTTTGGCAATTCGAATTGCCATCTGCTCCAGCATACGATGCGATATCATATGTATGGGGAGATGAATCTTCTACTATATCGATCACGTGCGATTCTCAACCCCTTGAGATCACGCAGAACCTGCACTGGGCTTTATACCGTGTCAGAGACCCGAAGGTAGCGAGCTTCGTCTGGGCAGATGCAATATGTATAGATCAGCTCAATGTCCTAGAGCGAAATTCGCAGGTCGCGTTGATGGGGTCGATATATGGGAATGCTAGGCTTGTGTTTGTTGCAATGGGTGACGCCTCTGGGGAAGATGATCGAAATGTCATGACCTTGATTAGAGATATATCTTCAATCTGGGAAATTGTCACAACCCGCCTTGAGATTGGCGAAAGTTTTCGGGACGATCCTCGATGGCGTAGCGTTGCTTCTATAATGGATTGCACATGGTTTACTCGCGTGTGGGTTGTCCAAGAAGTTGGATTGGCGAGGCACCCGATAGTGTTGTATGGAAACACGCATTTTCCTTACAGAGAATTGATCAAAATTGTCACTTGGGCAAGGAGTCAAACTTGGAGTTCGAGTTACTGGATTTCGGGATGGATCATTCATTCAGCATGGTCAGATTGGACACAGATACCCACATTTCCAAATGTCGGACTCTTCGATCTGCTAAGTCATGGCGCTATGTTATCATGTAGTGATCCTCGCGATCGTGTATATGCGTTTCTCGGACATCCACTAGCGAAGAATACGAGCGGTTCGAGCACCTTGCTTGCGCCTGATTACACGAAAGATTATAGAGAAGTCTATCAAGAAGTCTCGGTTTTGCTCTTGAAGCGAATCGGGCTCAGGTTACTCTCTTCAGTCGAACACACAGAAGAAACCATCAAAGAACCCTTCCCATCATGGGTGGTACGCTGGGATGTCGCAGAAGTGATGAATGACATATCCCAATACCACGACCAATTCAAATGTTACCCAACCAATGACACTCGACTACTTCACAACACAGTTCAAGGCAACAAGCTAATATCCCACGGTATATTCCTAGAAACAATCGCTAAATCATTCCCCATGCGAGGCCGAACCGACGCAGACGTCCTAACCTTCCTCGACCACACTTCTAACACAGAAATCTCACTGCACACCATGATCCACAACTTCACACCCGGCAACTGGCGCTCCTCAGAAATCTACGGCCAAAACCCACAAACCGCATTCCTCAAAACTCTGTCAGCTGGACACTACAAAGCTCCTTTCGACGCAGCGACTCATCCAGATGAAATCTCCGCAATTTACCACAGCGTCATCGGGACCTGTCATAAACGTTGCTTCGCCATGACCGGGTCAGGATTGTTTGTTCTTGCACCCTGGCTTACGAGACCGGGAGATATCTGTTGTGTGTTGTTTGGGGCGGGGGCGCCGTTTGTGCTTCGGCCGGCGGGAGGGAGTGGGGAGTATCGGCTGCTGGGCGAGGCGTATGTTGGGGGGATTATGGATGGGGAGTTGAAGGTTATGTTTAGTGAGAGTCAGTTGAGCGGGAGGGAGTTTGTGATTTCGTAGGGTTGGCAGGAACGTGTTTGCTGCTATATCAAAGTTCGCATCTTAAGCCTGGATGGAGTCGCTCTTTGCTCACATGCAGACTTGTCGGCTCGCGCCTCATCTGAGTTGAATATTTCGTGCTGTATTACACTGCTGGGTATTTGCAAAGGCTATCCTGACACCGAGTCGTCTAAACAGTGAAGCTTCTATTCAGAAAATACGTTTGTAATTAGGACAGATGATCCTTGGAATTTCTCGCTGCGCAGAACTTGCGTTTTGACCTCAACGACCCCTACAAAAGTCTGATATCTTCGTTCCAGGGCAGTAAAGCGCTCTCCACCGATTGTTAGCTAGATCAGCGGAAGGCGAATACTTAACACCTGTACGTGGTGCCCTCTACGAACCTAGAATTAAGGCTTTTACCAATATTATTCTAGAGCAGAGATTAAGCTCGGTTTGTCGTACACGAAGAGATTTCCCTTTACCGACTAAAAACCACGAATTCGAGCCCTCTCTCGACTCGACCCTCTTACTCGAACACCAATACCTCTACCTTACTATCTCTTCCGACGATTCGAAATCCCTTCCTTATAGTCACGAGTCTCTACTAGAGCTAGGCTTCTACCTACTCGGACAATTGACAATATATACCTAGTTACGCGGAGGAAAGGCGTGCGCCCGACTAGAAAGAAGGATAAGGAATCGGTAGAAGGGTTCTTTAAAAAGAGGGAATAGATATAAGGGTAGGAGCGAAAGTATAGAGTATTAGGGGCTATAGGGGGGGCGGTACTCGAATTCTTACTTTTGGCTGGTTTTGCGCCTTTATACGCGCTAAGCCTTACCCGAAATTGGGAATAGCCTTACTTATTAAGGATTACCTAGAGTAAGGCCTATTCTCTTACAATATACTCTCGAGCTATCCTAACCGGCGGGGAAGGCCGGAGATACTACTATACGGCCATGAGACACCTAAGTTTCTTTACTTTACTTTCTTGTTAGGTGGATATAAAGATAGAATGAAGGGACCCAGCTCTACTCTAGCTCTTTTAAGAGATTTTAGGGGTAGAACGGTTTTTTATTGTTAAATCCCAAGTTTAGTACGTCTCCATACCCCATGGGAGGTTCCAGAAGTTCGCCGCAAGCGGCGGGCTTCGCCAGACGTTTAATCAATACTACTACTACTTAGCCAGATCAGCGCCGGCGTAGTATCAAACCTGGGAACCAACACCTAGCATGTTGGATCTGGAGAACTTGCTGGTGAAAGTTAGGTACTTGCACTTAACGTCGACAAATCAAGATGCGACGAACCCTTGTAACCAACTTGGGGCATCAAGTTTTCCTCGAGAGCCAGATTGTAATTGGATCCAAATAATCATGCTTCTGTTTACGCCACATAAGCACAACCAATAATGCGCTGTAGGTCATCCAAAAGCTTGCGATCGATGTTCTGTTGCACAAGGGGCTCGAAGATCAATTCGTTCAATGAGGGAGTGGTGAAAATTTTCAAATGGTGAAAAATTTCAACTGGTCGCATTGTCTACATCATTGGGAGACTCCATACTGGTTATCAATCCGCTGTAGACGGTTTAGCAATTTGCTTTGCTATGTGGCGTCCAATGTCAGTAGACAACATCCATACGACGAAATGCAGTTCTTGTGGATTAAAATCCCATTACTTAACAGCCAGCCCGCAAATTTCAAACCAGCCATTCGTAGGCTTCTCGCAGAAATGCGGGTTTTTGCGCTAGCGTGAGATCTGACTGCATAGCCTTTTTGGACATCACCGTCATGTTGGTCATATGTTGGAAACGACATTATCCTGTTGCATAATGTTCAAAACTTCATCGTTCTCCCGTCCGACCACCTTATGAAACTCATTTCAGAGTAAAAGACAAATAAGTTCCCAAAATCAAATAACCACCTTTCAATCGCCAAGAATGTCTACAAAGAATTCAAAGTACGACTTGCAATCATTATCAAAAAAAACATTTCCCGAAATTGTGGATGAGATCGCGAAATGAACGCCCAACAGGCCATACGCCTCGATTCCCATCACTGCGGAAGTGACTGATGGTTTTCGAGATATTTCGTTCAGTGATATCGCCAATGGAGTTAACAACTTCGCTTTCCAGCTGGAAAAGCTATATGGTCGAAGCGAGGAGTTTGCGACTATCACTTATGTAGGGATAAATGACCTTCGATATGTGATGGTATTTCTAGGCGCAATAAAATGCGGTTATAAGGTAAGTCGAGCAATCCTCGACGTCTGTCTTCTAACTGAAACAAAAGACCCTTTTGATTTCACCAAGAAACCCGCCTGCAACTAATTTAAGTCTTATGGCCACGACAAAATCCACTAAATTGTTGTACACTGCGGAACTTGCACCACTGTTCAAGGGAATGTGCGCTGCAAATTCCGAAATAGTCGGTACGCAACTCAGCAGCTTCGATGAAATGATAATTTCCAGCCCGCCATTTTTATATTCCGAAGTCTGGTCTAAGGCTATAAACAAACCAGTCCTAGGTTTACACTCATCGGGATCGACAGGAACACCAAAACCTGTTGTCATGACACACGGCACGTTTGCAGTTCTGGGTAACGAAGCAAGTTTACCAATGGTGCCTGGAAGAGTTAAGCAAGACCTGGCAATATGGAATGGTAAAGATAGTGATTCAAGCAGATTCTATCACATATTTCCAACATTCCACTTAGCAGGATTTGTAACCACGGTCGTAATTCCAATTTTGGGGAACGGGATACCAGTGCTAGGCCCTCCAACCCGACCACCGAACGGTCATCTCATCATCCAAGTTATGAAGCAGCACACTTTACGAGCGTTATTCGTGCCACCTTCTCTTGCTGAAGCAGTTTGCCAAGAACCCGGCGGGCTTGAATTGATATCACGACTCGAGTTCGTATGTTACGCCGGCGGTCCTTTATCCGACGCGATAGGGGACAGATTGAGTCAGGTCACCAAGCTCTGTCAAATCTACGGCTCTACAGAATTATTGTCCATGCAACAACTCTTCCCGAAGAAGGAAACTTGGGCTTATCTAGAATGGAATCCACATGGCAGTTTTCGTATGCGACCAGCCGAGGATGACATGCATGAGCTTATCGTGTTGACTGATCAGAGAGGCCAGATCACGATAGATTTTACCTCTCTAGGTGTTAAGGAGTATGAGACTCGTGATTTGTTCAAGCAACATCCTACTGAACCTGGACTCTGGAAGTTTTGTGGTCGGAGAGATGATATTGTTGTGCTCTCGAATGGTCAAAAGTTTAATCCGATACCGATCGAGTCGACTCTGCAAGGCCATGTTGCTGGTGCTTTGGTGGTTGGTCAGGGTCGTTTCCAAGCTGGTTTGATTGTGGAACCGAAGCCGGATACAGACACTTCGACGATACTCGATAATATTTGGCCGATTGTTCAAGAAGCGAACAAGCTTGTTCCAGGTTATGGTCGAATTACTCGTAATATGATTCGTCTCTCTGATCCGGCAAGACCGTTTGTTCGAGCTGCTAAAGGCACTGTGATTTGGAAGATGACGGAGAAGTTGTATGAGCAAGACATCCATGGTCTGTATGAGAATTATTCCGTGCAAGAACAGTCATCTGTACTTGGACCTCGCCTGCGGGCTTCTTTCAAGTTAGAAGATGTGACGAGTTTTGTCAGGGAAGTCATCACCTCAAGCTTTCCTGACACTGAGTTACGTGACGATGATGATCTGTATGTCGCAGGTTTGGACTCGGTTCGTACGCTTGAGATTGCGAAGACGTTAAAATCTGAGATGGAGAGATACAGAAAAGCAAATGATTTATCTTGGTTCACCTCGCGTATTCTATATGATCATTCGTCCATCACACGACTGTCGAAAACAATCACTGATGGCCTGGAGTCTGGAAACTTACATTTGAAAAAGGACTCTAAGGTAGAGATGAATTAACTTGTCGCCAAATATACAGATGGTCTCGTGCCAAGAGTCAGTTCAACACTCAATGAAGGTGCTGTACACAATTCAACTGGCCTCGTCGTTGCTCTCATTGGCACATCAGGATACCTCGGTAGCGCTCTTCTCGACAGACTCAATCTCGATGAACGAATAACGAAGATCTACAGCCTGACCCGCGCACCCGCAAATCAATCAAACTCACATCCCAAAGTAAAGCATCTGAAAGTCCAATACTCCCAACCACAATTTGGTCTCAAAGATCCCGACTTCCAAGAACTTAGTTCTCAATGTCACGTATTAATCCTGAACGCATGGAAAGTCAATTTCAACCACTCCTTAAAGTCTTTCGAAGACAACATCAAATCTCTCAGAACATCTTTGGATCTCGTCGCAAAAAGCCCTCATAACGCACGTCTCACTTTCGTCTCATCGATTTCAGCAGTTGAAAATTACCTACCCGACGCCGAGATCCCTGAGGCGTTACTCGGCCCAGAATTCGGCGATATTGCACTGCCCATGGGCTACGCGCAATCTAAACTCGTTGCGGAACGCATACTATTAGAAGCAGGTACTAAGTACAACTTTCCAATTACAGTGTTAAGAGTCGGACAAATCGCGGGTTCCACAGACCCGAACTCGAAGAGTATGTGGCCAGTTACTGATGCCATCCCATTAATCATCGCCACATCCAAAATCATCGGTTATCTCCCTGAACTCCGAAACGTGGATTAGATACCCATCAACAATCTCGTTGATGTAATTACAGATCTACTCCCTCACGATATCCTAACCGAAAAGTGCTATACTTATAATCTCGTGAACCCGCATCCAACTCCTTGAACTGAGCTTCTTGAACCGCTGCGCGAGTATTGTGGAGCTGAAACTAAGGTTGTGCCTGTTGAGGAGTGGTTGAGAAGGATTAAGGAGAATGGGTTTGAGGGGAAGATGGTCGGAGGTCTTCCGTTGAGGAGTGTTGTGGATACTTTTATGGTGGTTTTGAGGGGAGAGGCAAGGGGTGGGAGGAGGTATGAGATGGAAAGGGGGTTGGAGGCGAGTCAGGCGTTTAGGGGTGTGAAGTCTGTTTCGGGGAGGGAGTTGGAGGTGTGGATGAGGGGGGTGGGGGTTCTGAGGGTTTAGGAGGATTTTTCGGATTAAGAAAACCTCGGCTTCAATTCTTTCAAAAATAATTTCTTGATTTAAAGGAAATGTGCAACTCGTGGGGCAGGTTCAGAGTTGAACATCTTGAACTATTCTGATAAGTTGAATTTTTCCATTGATAACTACAGCATAGTCAAAGCTGATGAAGAAGGAAATGAATTCGAATAGTAAGTAAGACATGATACGAGGCCCATTGAGTAAGTTCCAGGTTCTCCCAGGTCTTCCTCCAAAAACACAAAGAGAAGATGACAGAGAACAGTCGTTTGCTCCGTCCCAAGGTTGTTTCTGTCATTGCACCATTCTAGACCCTCAGATCACTTCCATGATACCATATATCACCAAGAAAACGTCCTTCGGCCTATCTAAGCGCTCCAGCAGCGGTTAGAATACCGACAATATTTTGATGGCCACGGTTCTGAGCAGCTTGTAATGCGCTTCTCGCGCCCGAGTGCCCACGAGGCCATCGTTCATCAGATACGATAGCATTGGGATCTGCGCCAGCAGCCAATAGCTTCTTGACGATTGATTCGCGATTGCTTTCTGCGGCAATTTGTAACGCCTCTGGATAGTGAGCGGTCTGTTTGGTATTAGTGTCAGCACCCACAGCTAACAAAACGTCAACGGCTTTGTCATCACCACGATTAGCGGCTTCTTGTAAATGAGTTAAGGGGTCACTCAGTCCCGGTCTCTTCCCATAATTAATATCAGCTCCAGCAGCTACTAGATTTTGTACAATTATAGGTGAAATCTTTGGTGCTTCCATAGCGATATTTAGCAGATTCGTCAAAACCCACTTGTTGTATACTCTATCATCAACCTGAGTATTGTATACGCCTTCATCAACATGAGTATCATGGGCTGTAGTCTTCGTTGAAGTGTCTTGATGACCCTCTTTTATGTCGGCTCCGAGAACGTTTTTCGGAAATCGAGAGACTGGCTTAATATACTGATAGCTAGTACACAGTAACAAGTTCACTACTCCTGCGTGACCATTTACGACGGCGCCTTCCAGCGCCGTACCTTTTCGACGGTCGATTGGATGGGAAGTCTCCGTACCAGAGCTCGCTGCCCCAGTTTCAAGTAACATTGCCACGGCTAATTTGTGTCCGTTGCTCGCTGCCCGAAAAAGAGCTGTTTTCCCTTGACCGTCCACTGTATCTATATCTATTCTCCTGTCTGCCATTTTGTCTAGCAACAATCTTATAATTCGCTCTTTTCCAAAATCTGCGGCGTAATGCAAGGGTGTAGATTTCTTGTTATCTACAGCCTCGACTTTGGCGCCAGCATCCAACAATATCTTTGTCATGTTCAAATTGCCGCTCAATACGGCAATATGTAGTGGTGCCCTTCCCATATCATTCTTTTCTTCAATCAATCCACCTTCCTTAAGCAATAGTTCCACTAGCTCAGCTTTCCCATCTGCCGCGGCAATATGCATTGAAGTTTGTCCTAAGTCGTTCTTCTCTTCTATTTCTGCACCATTTTCGATTAAGAGCTTCACAAGTGAGATGTCACCTATCTGAACAGCATTCATAAGACTCAGCCGTTCGGTGGATTTCTTTTGCTCCTATAAACATTTAGAGTAGAGAAGTTGGAATCTATTTTCCGCGGTGTCTTCGGGGTTTTCCGCCTGCTTGTGCTTTTCTTTCATGTGTCTCAAGAGATTGTCCTGCCGAGAAGCACCTTTGAAGCTGCACCCAGGCCACTGGCAGTAAAACTTAGTAGCCACTCGCCCACCGTGTGTAGCCTTGTGCCGATTACAATCATGTCTCAATGCAAAGCGTCGAGCACATAATTTGCATTTGTGAGGTTTCAAGTGCGTGTTATGATGCCTACTGAGGAAATTGTTAGAGGGGGTATATGCTGTTGATAGATAGCCACAAACTTGTATTCTTTTAATGATTCTAAGTCTTTGGAACAAAATCCGCAATTAATCTTTCCATTTACTTGGATCCTGAGTTGTGAGTTTGACATGTTGTGCTTTGAGGTAGTTTTATCGCATAACATTTGAGAGATCCTCGGATCCAGTAACGCCGTGGGTCGGATAGGTCGCGACCATGTTATCTGTAAAGTCACAGGCTAAGAATTGACTCACTCGAAGAACTTTCAAATTAATACAACCAAGAGGCTGAAGATTCAGGTTGTACGGGCAACATCTACTGCATCTCCGTTAATTTCTAATTGGAACTCGCAATACCAAGACAGCTGCTAACACACAACCAGAGGGCGACCGCTAGGGAGCATCACCAAACCAAAGATCGAGATTTTCGTTAAATAACTGACTTCCCTCTTTCTGTTTGCACGGAAACGTGAGCAGACTTGTTATCCAAAAGCCAACGTCTTTTCTTCATTGGTTGCCCTGTCCTTCACTCATTGGTCGCCCGATTCTCGAGGCGTCGCGCCACTCACCATTTTACGATCCCCCGCATTCGCACACTATATTCAAGACAATGCAGCAGTATCAGGCGGCCGCTTTGGGCTCCTGTCGTCGGAATTCCCGGTACGGCCTTTTTTTTTTTGCTGACGCGGTTATGCCTCCAGACTCGGCAATCACAGAGATCGAGCAGTAAATCGACCTCTGTATCGGACATCTCCTATTGGCAGGTTGCCCAGCTTTGCATCATGTAATGCTACAGCGCAGAACCACGACCCGCTTTCTTTCAATACAGTCTGGAACAGGGACTCAGATAAAGAATATTCAGCAGTCGTCGACACCGCCTCCAAAACATTTGCTTCACAGCTAAATTTGGATAAGGAAGTATTTGGACTCACTCAATTCCAGGCCGCTCAAAACTCTATCTTCGACTACAACTACAACACTTTGGATTGTTCTTTTCTAGATTCCAACCAAATCTTGCTTGAGCAAACTAGCTCGTATTTTCAAGATCCTGTCCTTGGTAGTAGCGACTATACGAATCTCACCAATGGCTTCAATTCTCCGGTGCAACTTGAGCCGGCTTCGGTTGGACAACCTAGCTCTTGTGCACAGGGTTATGGCTTTGGCGGCAACAATCACGTAGAGGTTGATGAGTTTGAAGTTCTTGGAGATGCTGAATCAACTTTGCTTGAAGAAACTAGCTTTCTTCCGCCAAATGCTGGATCCAAAAGCGACAATCCCATACATTACAATGGATTCCAGCCTTTCGACAATTCAATATCAACTCTACCTTCTCGATCAGTCTTTCTCCCACGAAATATTGGCATAGATAGTATCAATCAGGTAGAATTTGACGAATTCATCTCTCATGGCTACCTCGAATCGGCTTCGCACGAACAACCCAACCTTTATTCTCAACATTCCAGTTCAGGCAGCAATGGTTTTGTGGACTACAACGACTGTCTTGAAATTGAGACTGGTTTTATTGATCAACCAGCTTTCGCCAACGCTATTCAGAACCTCGTTCAATTCGGCTCGCCGGCGCAAGGGGTACATTGCCAGGATTCCGCAGCCCATCACCAGCAGCTGAACCTTGCCACTCTGAATCATCCACCAGAAGTGTCAATTAATCCTGCGGGTCCCATTGCGGCAGCGGTGACCTCCAATACCAATACGGCTGCTTTACCTATCGCCATCCCGAGGGCAGCCATTGCACGTCTGCCCAATCGAAACGCTGGTTCATTCAGATGCGATTATCCTGGATGCAACGAAATAATCAAAAGATTTCACGACCTCGCTCGACACAAGCGGAAACATGGTCCACCACAATACCGCTGTTTGGTTCAAGATTGCCCTCGCGGTCTGGTGGGCTTCACTCGTACTGACAAACTGAGAGAACACCAGCAAAAGATGCACGTGCCGAGAACCTTCTAAGAATCGTTGATAGGAGTCGATGGGTTTCAGAGAGTAACCTCAAGGGTTAACAGAGCTCAATGGAAGATTGGGAGGAGTTGTGGCTGACGATGGGGGTTTCTTCATTTTCAAAAGCTCTTTAGTACTGTTTCGTTTATTTTTTCGGTTACTTTCGGCTTCTAGCAGCTTGGACGCTCGTTTATTTGCTGAAATCAATTCTCTCGCGATATTAGATTGTGGTGGATTCGGTCACTTTATCCAGATTTGTGTTTTGCTCTTGTGTTCGGTGCCAGAAACAAAAATACAGTCGTTACCTAAACCCAATAATCTCAAACACGAAGTGAATCTGCTGAAAGCTTTTGATACGATTCAAAGTTCGGCTATCGGGCTCCAGACGAGGCGAGATAATTTTCATTCAACGATCGTACAGAGGGCCGGAAAAGTCATATCTCTCCAACTCATGTATTTTTCCCCGCAAACTTGTTACTTTTAAGCTTATGAGTGGAATTCTAGAGCATCGAAAACTCCCAAATTTTTGAGCGAATAAGCATACATGCACTTCGCTTACAGGCTACCGCTACCTACCTAGGTAGCTGCCAATGGAAAAGCCAAGTGACATTCGGAACACGGATACTTCTTTCACCAAGCTGCTATAGTACTGTTCATTGGTCGACTTTTCCAGCAAGTAGAAGTTTCCTTAGACCAATTACACTGGCTTTTTCTTTTTGAGATTACTTACTCGCTTAAAGTATCCTTCTAGTTGAAAGAATCTCCAGAGGGCACTGCTACTGGAATTGTGCTCTAGGAGGAAGGCTCGTTGACAGCCAATACTTTTATGGCGATAGCTAACAAGAAATATACATATATCAAATTGCTGGGCAGCCTATAATAAATGACAAGGTAAGGTTACTTACGCATTCTGTTTGTCTGTGGAGCTACTGCGGAAATATATCAGAACACTATTTAAATTACTCTTACTAATTGTAATCTTATGTAGCACTAATTACTACTCTGCCTTACTAAAAGGGTTTCGCTGAGTAGTTCTTGAGAAGTGTACGTAGAGTCATGATTGCTTTGATGCGTTGCCATTGGTAATTGATCGTTTTGAACTAAGACTCTGCAACAGTAAGTATATAGCCAACCATACACATGTAAGAACACAATAAAGATTTCGACACATTTCATTCAATGCAAATAGTCTTTATGCTTTAACTCCTGAACACTTGCATTCTAGATACATTAAAATGGTTTGCAAAAGAAGTGACGCTTTTATTGGGCCGTCGAATCTTGACATACAAAGAGCCCAAGTCTTGGTGTTTATAGCTCGCTCCAAAAAGATTGATCATAACGACCATCACGACAACCTAAGGAGCATTTCATCTACTGAATCGACCTATCTCTAAGAGTCATCACACAACTACAGATCGGGCGAAAGATTTGTCACTTAGCAGTTTCTTCTTCTCGTAGAAGTTGAGGACGTGACTGTTTGTTTGTTTAGTATACTCATTCCCATTTCGCTTAAAGTATTCTTTTTAACCTCATAGTTTTAATACTATTATCGTGTAGCATTTGAACTCAAGAATAATGTCTATGTAGGTGCGCTAGGATCTATCTATCAAGAAACTTGTAATTGCTTAACGTCCTTCCCCTTAGGGGCTTATAATTGGTTGCCCTTTTCGGAATTGGTCTCAGTAGCGGCTGGATCAGGGCAAGCACCCAAAAAGTAATTCGCAAAGAATCCACGCCCGTTTGTTTCAAAGCCCGGTAATAGTGCTGCGCATGAGATTTCTCTCCCAGGATTAGCTTCAGCACTAGCAGCTGATAACAATTCTATCATCTCTTCGTCCCCTAGCCCTGTAGCCTCCTGCAAAGGCGTCTGCAAATTTCCCCCAATTTCGTTCACGTTGGCTCCCGCAGCTAGTAATTTCTTGACTATATTAACTGATCGCTGTGAAGTTCTCACGGCTATATGTAATGGCGTCATGATATAGCTCCCATCCCACACTTCCTCATCTGTGCGAGCACCAGCGGCTAATAGCCTTGCTACAATCATTTCATGACGCCCTTCTATAGCAGCCTGGAGTGCAGTTCTGTTAAAACGAGATGGTCTCTTGTTGACATTTGCACCGGCGTTTAAAAGAGCATCGACTATATCTAGGTTGCCACCGACTACTGCCTTTTCCAACTCTGAATGAGTTGGGCGACAACCAGCAGATAGTAATACATCCACCACCTCTTGGTAACCTCCACTAATAGCAGCTTTTAGCGCTGAATTTGTAGATTCCGTGAGTCTCAGTCCTGGTCTTCCTGATTTGTCTGCGGCAACCTGAAGTAGAATTGAGACAATAGAAGCATGGCCATTTGCTGCTGCTCTGTAGAGAGCTGTTGCCCCTTGGCGGTCCGGTATATCAACGGTAGATTTCATCTCTAAAAGCCTGTTCACTAGTAATCGTACGATGAGCTCTTTGCCGGAGTCGGCAGCATAGTGGATTGGGGCTGTTCTTTTGTTGTCTTTGGCCTCCACGTTGATACCTGCACCAAATAGCACCTTTATTACCTCAAGATTGTGATTCAGAGTCGCAATATGTAATGGCGTCTGACCTTCCCCATTTCTGGCTTCTAAATCAGCCCCGTTATTTAACAAATTCTTCACTAGGGCGATATCTCCAAGCTGGACCGCCATCATGAAGCTCAAGCGTCCTGTGGATAGCTTTTGTTCTTCAGTACACTGTTTGAAGAGTTCCATGACCGTGTTATTTATCTCGCTTTCTTCTATATCCTTTGATGTTTTCCCGTGTTTTTCACGTATGTGCTTCCAAAGATAGTCCCGTCGAGTAGTACCCTGAAATTTGCAATTTGGCCAACTACAGCGGTATTTCGCTGTCGTCAGTGCGAAATGAACTGCCCTGTGTCGGTCGAGATCATGTCGTAGGGCGAAACCCCGCGGGCAGGCAGAGCACTTATGTGGTTTCTTATGTTGCTTGCTGTGTCGGCTAGAGGCAGGGTTGTTAGTGTGGCTCATGTGCTGGCACTCTTTTGTAGTATTACTTATATTCAGACCGTTTGCTAAATGATTTGGAACATTCATCGCATCTCAAGACTGTCCTACTTTGCCTATCCACGACCAATTTCGACATAATGAGGATTCTGATGATGATCGATTACACTCAAGGCTGGTGGAAGAGAATGTAAGATGAGAATGGGTGGATTGCGCTTCATCAGCTTTGTTAATTGTAAGCAGAAACGACGGGAATTTGTTGCAGAGTCCTCCCTCATTGGTAGCTATATCTAGAGATAGAGTAGCCTCTTTAGGTTAGCCTGTCATGGGATGTTTGTTACACAGAACTTGACCGCCAACACCAGGCCCAACTCCCTGTAGTGTCAATCATTAACCACATAATGCAAAATATTTGACAGTCTTACGTACGGTACAACTTGTCTATGGTAGGCCCTGATGGTCAGTATGCATAAATGTACATGTCAGTCAGATCAAGCCGTTTCAGTCGGTAATCGGTAGCAAGATAGCAATCTACACAGATTCGAGTATCCGCGCCATATTGCAATTTAGCAGTTGTGTCTACACCAAGGAGAATTCTAGGACAAAACATCCAACTTTCCTTCTCTCAGTCTACATATGGTCGCCCCATTCTCATTTCATTGATCGCCCGACATTACTTGCAGCTGCAAAGTGTCGCCCTCTATGTTGTTATTTGTCGCCCTGCTGTAGACTGTATGCACGTCCATCGCAGCTGATTGGGACAGAGGGTATATTTCTTCATATTTAGGTGCGAGTATGCCCATTTCGACGACCTCTTCGATCAATCGGATCTTGAAATCAGGAAAGTTTATCGATTCACAAACATGGCTTCAGGCAGTTCTGACGATGCTTCCACCAACCAGGACGTTGAAACTGAGTGGGATGCAATCATAAGCCCCGAGGATGAAATTTCTTCTTGGTGGTTAGATTATTCAATTCCTTCACCGAGCGATGACATAGCTCTGCACAACACCTCGGCGGTTTTCGATAATGGCCTGAACATCGATTCGTGGATGACTCAATCTATCAACGATTCGGTCTTCCTCGACTACACTCAAGGACCGACCTCGAATCACGCTGTGTCGAGTGCCGTTCAAAGCATAGAGCAATTGTCCATTTCGGAGGATAGTCTCAGCTCAGTGGAACGACATTTTGTGCATCCCAATATAAATCTGCATGGACATTTCTACTTTTTCCCACAGGAACATAGTTTTGGAGCCAACGGTCATGTCGCACTCAACAATCACTTCGAAAATCAAACCGGCCCAAGTGACCACAACGATTTTGGGAATTCAGTGGATGTTTTCGAGGAATTCGATATCCCGGCACAAGCGACTGGATTAGCTACTCCATACGAACAAACTGCTCTGGTGAACAGCGATCAACAACTGGAATTTGAAAGCACTGCCACAGCGGATATGTCTACCTCCAACTCAGCACAACTTCTTCCCGTTCTCGGTGCATCGGCATCCCACCGATCCAACAGCAACACCACCTCGTTCACGTGTCCTCATCCCGGATGCGGGCAGACAACGGCGAGGCTATCCGATCTTCATCGACACCAACGAAAGCATGAGATCCCGCAGTACCCCTGTCCATTTCTCGGTTGCAACCGTCGTGGCCACAGAGCCTTTGACCGTACCGACAAGCTCAATGAGCACCAGCGAAGAGTGCATCGCGTGAACGTCTGAATTTCACAGAACAACTCCAATGAGAGAAAGAAGCAGAATCTTGGGGTATGCGGGAAGATTGGATGAAAATTCAGGCGCAGATCATGTGGAAGTCCTTTATAACGTTAGAGGTTCTCACTCAAGATCTGAAAAGTCTTTGACACTTATGTCTCTCTCAATCTTGGTTTTATTTGGGTTTTATTTCCTGGGGAAAGCCTGCAAGATTAGACTTTGCTTATCAATAGATGAGGTTTCATACCCCAAATCCATAGCCGCTCAAGTCGCTAAACTTTTCTTACATGCTACGAGCCTCAACCAAAACGTGATACCTTTTTCGTCTCTCTAAACATTCAAAAGCCAATGTCTTGAGTTCCTGCTTACTGACACTTGACGATGAACTTGTCGTTGTTTCACAGTCTTCTCAGGGGGACAAAGGTGGGGGAGGTTCATCAAGCGAGGCTCATAGCTAAGGTTGACAACACAAATTTCGACCGAAAAGTAATTCGGCATCAGCGTGGGGATAAAGAATCTCCCAGAAACCTGGAAAATATTTGCCAATTGAGTTCAAATTCTGTCAATTTCATGGTTTTCTGCTTTTTCCCAACCGCCAAGATGGTCGCGCAGGTAGAGGAGAGTCAAATTCCGCCACAAATTTCAGCTCCAAGACTTTTCTTGCACAGTCACTCGTCAATGAACAAGTTTATGTTTTTGTGTCTTGAATGACCAGAAATTTAATAAATTCGTAAGTTTCGTTTTTCTCTGCGAAGACATTAATAACAGAAGCTCTAAGTTGGGTCAAAACCATAGCTCGTTTTCTTCTACTACAGTCAGCCTCTTAGAAATAGTTGGTCGTATGGTCTTGCCCAGCATACCATTTTTTACTTTAAGTCATTGAACTGATTCAATTTGAGGTGTTGTCCAGAGACAGTTCACTTACGTGGAAGAATCAATTCCCAAGTATCCCCCTCACTTAACACAACCTGCAAGCCATCGGTATCGCTTCCTAGGGCTGAATCAAAATTCCCCTCTCAGTGGTTACTAAATAGAAGCACATACACAAATTGGCTTGATCACAATAGAAAACTGGGAAATATCCGGCACAGGCGAATTCGTGGCGGTTCGCGAGACCCGCCAGCGTGACCAACCCACGCAAAATGGGCTTGTGGCTCACGATCCCGAAGTTCTGGATCGTGGGCCAAAAGCCTGAGATATTTCGGGGTTGGAGATTGGTTAGGTAAGGGAGGAGGCGCTTCGATAGTTTGGATTTTATTTTGTTGTCGTGGACATGGCTTTGCTCGAGCGGTTGTTGAGCATATAATGGCGATGCTGGTCCTACATGAGCTTGAGATTTTTTCTGTAGAGGAATTACTTTGCCATTTACCCCTCAACTTGTTTTAAGCCAGAAACGGTGTCGAAATTTTCGCAGAAATGCCTCTCGCAACCCCTCGAACACTGCTTGGGCTCTTAGTAGTCTGCACAACTCTACTCGGTCTAATTGATCCAGCATCTGCAACACCAAGACCTAAAACCCACAAAGTCCGCAGCGGAGAGTCAATTCAGGCTGCACTCAACTCCGCCAGTCGAGGTGACCGCATCGTGGTCGAATCCGGCACTTATGCAGAGCAATTGAACATCACAACCGACGAGATCTCGCTAGTCGGCCGCAACGCCATCCTCATTCCTCCTCCTACTCCACTACACAACCTGTGCTCTGGTCTAGCGGGCAAGCTTCCACCGAACAATGTCATTGAAACGCAAGCGGGCATTTGTATCCATGGTAGCAACGTCCAATTGAATGCTTTTGAGAGAGAACACCGGAAAGTAGCTTCGGTCGGACAATACGTCAAAGGCGTTTCGGTTACCGGCTTCACGATTCGTGGATTTTTGGGTCTTAACATCGCAATTGTTGGTGGTGAAGATACCACGATCAGCGACAACACCCTTACAGATGGAGCGTTCTACGGCGCGTTGACTGTTGGTTCGAAGAACAGTCTCATCGATCATAATACCGTCAATTCGAGTCCGCCAACTCCGACGAATACCTTCCTGCCCTTCATCGGCGTCTGCATGGACGATATCAGCACAGTTAACATCAAACGAAACAGCATCTCAGGATACCTAATTGGTCTTTGCGTACAAACCCCAGGCGCCAACATTCACGACAACAAAGTCGAAAACTGCTGTATCGGCGCATTCGTCGACCCAGGAATCGTCGGCGCCAAGCTCCGCGACAATGTATTCAAGAACACAAACCCCCGATGTTTAGATCCAGCAAAGAGCGGATCCTTCCTCATCTACGGTATTTACATCGCAGGTGCAAGCGAGACCATCGTCAAGGACAACAAGATCACTGGCATCACGTCGGGCGAAAATCAAAACTTAGGAGGAGCAGGATTGGTCGTCAACGATGACTTTCCAATTGAGTTTGGCGGGACAGCCAAAGTGGGGTCGGGGAATCGTGTGACGGATAATAAGGTCAAGAGGAATGACCTCGATGTTTATGTAGGAGCGACTGGGCAGGGGAATGTGGTGAAGGATAATCGTTGTGATACTTCGATTCCTGCCAATATCTGTGTCAAAGGAGACTAAACAGGAGTCGTGGTTTGTAATTCATTTCAACAGGAAATTGGAAAGTGCCCGGTACTGAATAATCTCTCAGCAAAAGGAGCAACTTCTGTATATAATTAATCATAATTTTGACGTTGTTGCTTGAAATCCTAGGAAACGTTGCTCGGCCCTCCGTCTTTGTTATTGACTCTGGCAAATATGATAGAACTGGGGATCTCAGTCTGCCTCTTCAATTTGTCATTGAGATCATTTATTCACTGTTCCACTTGCTCCGATGCTGAGTTCATACAGCGAAGAATATGTCCACATATGACGATACTTGAGGAAATGTACACTGAAGATGCAATTTTCATTGTTCAATCCCTCCGGGAGTCTTATTATCTACGAAGAAAGCGAAGTCCGATGAAACAATACATAAAATTTGTGATTTAATACCTTGTTGTCTTCAAACTGATGGATGACTGCATCATCAGAATCTTCAGACTCAACTCACATGCTCAGGTTGTACAGCATTTTGCTGCAAATAAACTGCTACAACCAAGATATGCAGTCAGCTTACCACGCATCGTTGAGTTATGAGAGTTCATTGAAGCTGGCACATAAGAGCCTCCAGTGTTTGCCGCTTTACGGTCGTCAACCAATGAGGTAAAAAGTGCGACAGACAAAATGGTTAAAACCAACAATTGCATTCTATGACAAGGCTCTAACTTTGTCTTCAGCAAAAGAGGCGGACAAGGCAAATGTTATTCTACTTCAGCTTGCGGGAATGTATTCGTTAGGCAGCAATCACTTTATGCTGAACCAGCCCAACGGTTGATGAAGTTGAACGTGCTATATGTGTTGCCCCATTTCTGTGGGTTTTTCGTCCTATCTGACAGGTCATCGATCTCTGAAGTACCGCCAGTGCTTTACTCGCGCAATATTTTGAAACACATCCAATTCAAATCTGTTCTTGATTAAACATTTGCAATGTGCCAATGGGAGGCGGTTGAGGTCGAAAGCTCTCAGTGCGAGCAAATTCCTCTGAATGAGCCTGCTCACAGGTACCAGATACGAAGCTTCCATCTATGCAGAGACGCAACAAATTCGACGACTGAGGGGTGGCAGCTGTGCAATAATGTAACGGGCAGGGACGGACAGGAGTACGCGGATATGGGGTCCAGAAGAACCACGCCATGTCCCGTTTGTAGAGAGCTGAACAAAGCCGAGGAGGATTATCGAGTTGCATACGGCAACGCAGTCGCGGATTATGAGATGGCATCTCAAGTGGCTTTGACCAAATACAACACAGCCGTCGCAATCGCGGATGACGACAAGCGCAAGAGAATAGAGAACTCAGCATATCAGAATCGATACTTTCCAAGGGTAAGTGGCTGTCGATATCAGTCCCCAATTGAGGTCTTGATCTTTCTGACTGAAGTAGCGACGCCATTGATACTACGGCACTGATAGTGGTAGCAGGAAGGTTATTCAATTACGAATTTGAAAATTTGCGGAACTAGCCCAGCATTGAGATTTCTCATATCTTGACGTGTTAGCAGGACCGAACAAGGAGAGGGATGCAGGCCTCAACAAGAAAGATGCCCTGTCAATGTACTCTTCGAACGTAGTGTATTGTTTGTTTGATTTTGAGTTCGGTGGTTGTGTTTGTAGCTGACAGCATTTTATTGAAAAGCCGTTGAATATTTCACCAAATAAAGATTCTCGTGAGAATGATGACCTCAGACCAAAGAAAAAGGTACCGTGATCCGTTGACGCGCCTGTCGACACCTGCTCATTGACTGCCAGAATTTTTGTTTCAGAAAATGTTTCCAACGTCTGAGAGAAGAAAGCCACAGCCAAGAGTCTTCCGCCAAATTTATCCCACAAGTAACTCCACAATAAGACAAAGTTTGGTAGGCTATTCTGCCCTTCTTTATGGAAACGCCGTGTAGCCTTTTGAAAATATTTCCCTCGCGGTATATGCCGAATTTTTTGGCACTTTGAGGTTTGAATCAAAACGTAACAAGAAGGGCTTCAGTCGTTTAATCGTTTTTGACAGCTGGTTACTTCTTTATGAACCTCGGTCACCGAGAAGTATCTTCCCCTCCAGCATCGCTCAATAATTGGCCGGATGAGATCCAAATTGATGTCTGTGAGTGGAAAGAAGTTTTGTCTGAATTGGTTTTGGACAAAGCTGTCTGTCTCATTTGCGTAAGGAGGTACAGAAGTACACATTTCAAATATAGTAGAACCCTGAAGAGATTTAGTGCCAGAGACAAAGCGTATTCAGGAGTGAAACTCACTAGTGCGAACAGCTCGGTAGCACGTGTTGGTTGGCCACTTTGATAAGTTGGGTGTTGGCCACGGACTTCATAGCTGATTCTTGCCAGTTCACCCTCTCTCCTAGAACCCGCAAAATCACACAGCTTAAGATGCTGCTGACGATTGACAAGGAAATTATGACATCCGACATCGCCATGCATGATGCCTTTGCTATGAAGGAATTCTAATCCCTTACACGCATCGTGCATCCAAGACAGCACCTTCTCCACTGGATGTTGCGATTTTTGGCGTAAATAAATACGGAGCGAGCAATCAAGTCGCTCTAAAACTAGCCCAGATTGCCATTCCTCGATAAAATGTACTATGTATGGCGATTGATGTTCAGATTGTAATTCAGAGTAGATCGATGTTTCGCGGTCGTAGTCCAATTGACCTTCATCATCGTCCGCAAAGACCTTGATGACTAGAATCTTATTTATGGCAAGAACAGTTCCGGAAGAGCCTCTGCCAATACTCGGAGCATCGTAGGTGTCAAACGTAGATTTCCAGCTGTCATCAATTGCGAATGTTTGTGATTTGAATGGTAAGGACTTCATGATCTTGGACTGTCAATCATACTATGAATGAGTAGGGCGGCATAGCGGGTTCGAGTTAAACAGCCTGTCCGAAAATAAGGATCAGGACCTGTGACACCCCAAATGAACAAAACGGTACAGACAGAATGAGGCTGCCGCATTTCTAAAAGCGACGAGAAAATTTCCTGCAGTCAGGAATGCGACCTTGCTGCAATAGGGCAAGATGCTGTGTAACATAAGACGAGGCTCTGGTTTCCACCAAACAAAGCTGGATGATTCAGCCAGGAGAATATCAACTCACGGCACTTGCCAAAATTATGAAGTGGCTTCCCGGCGGTGAGTGAGATACAGATTGGCTCACTGGTATGCAGACTTGCGTACGCAAGAGATAAGGAGAATATCATCAACACTTGTTCTGGGTATCAGGCAATAAGGTAGAGTATATACTTGCATTATTATTGCCAAAGCGAGCCAAAAACTCAATACCTCAACCAGAAGACGTCTCAGACGCATCTGGTATGAGTCCAATCACTTGTCGCTGTAATTCTCTTCAGGGCGCGATTGGATGCACTTGCTGCTGGCAGTAAGATATGTCCCTGCGAGTTTCCATCAAGTGGACGGCTAATCCCGATCTGATGACGGGAAGGACGCCGGAGATGCGACACAGCGACTTTTGCGAGCCCGAAATTTTTTGATTGTCCAGTGGCAGAACCTCAAGTTTTCGGATCGGCGTCCTGGATGCCCAAGTGGCCCAACTGCTCCCCAATTCTTTTCAATAATTCTTCGTCCTTGACGCCATCGGTTTCATCTGTTTGCATATCCTCGTCCGCGCTTTCGTCGGCACGGCCTTCGCCTGTCTCTCCCACGACGCCTTCTTCGAGGCCCTCTCCGCCTTCCTTGAGAACCCATTCCACGACTTCTTTCTTGTCATTTAGTTCAGCCTCATAGACAGCATCATGTCCTCTTTGATTTGTTCTCGTTGGATCAGCCCCGTTATCTAAGAGAACTTTCACGGATTCTAGATGTCCATTCAGTGCTGCCCAATGCAAGGGTGTGTTTCCAGCTTTGTTCTGGGAATTGATTATCGCGAGCATGGCAGGAGTCTGCGGGGATGGATTCGAAAGCGCTTTGCAGAGGTCTAAAAGAATTTCTGAACAAATATGGTTAGCGTTGGAAGATGCCATGTTGAATAAAGTCTTACTATCGTGTCCATTTGCAGCTGCCATATGCAGGACGCCGTTTCCACTGTTCTCATCTTTTACCAAATCTAGAAATTCTAGTGATGAGATACTTTCTCGTTGGCAGATGGTTTCATTCAGTGAGTTGAGCTCATCGACTTCTCCAGTACGTGCGAAGTAAATGAGATCGTCTATCTCATCTTCAGAGATGTTGGGCGTCATGATGTTGGTCGAGTTCGTAATTCGTACCTCTGTTTCGTTTCGCAAAATTAATTTCATGGCGGGGTGTTGAAATGGCACGTGATACATCCGATACCCCACATCTTTATTTTTTATCTTATCAGATCATCAGTTGCAGGGTTAAGATCAACAATTCTACATCCCGGATGCACTTCAACGTATCGAGGTATGTAGTCTACTATTCGGGTCTAAATAGTCGCTCAAGCTAATTGTGCCACTGGCAAGTTCATACACAACCTCAAATTCCTAACTCACGCATCGCAACGCGGTTCTCGTTGCGTCATTTCAGTAATCTCGTTTCCGGTGTTTGAAAAAGCTTAGAGAAGACCGAAGACCAATTGAACTCTGCGGAGTTGCGCCTTTCCAAGATTTCTTATAGACCAATTCTGACCGACCTTTTCAATCTATCGTGGCTACTCGGAATCAATGTCTTCCAGTTTCTTACGACTGGGGATTGATGTGGGAGGCAAGTCTCCAAGCAACGTTTTGTGTCTTCCTCTGATATAAAAAGTGTTTAGGCACAAATACCGATGCAGTTCTGCTCGACGCCAACCACGCAAAGCAAGATGAAGGCGTTGTGAAGTGGACAAAAGTACCAACCACTGCTGGACTGAGTAGTGTCAAGAATGCAATAAAAGAAGTTACAAAGGATAAACCAGAATTCATCTCCCAAATTCGTTGTGTTACTATTGGGACAACGGTAAGCATAGTTGTAATTTAATTTAGACGTCAGCTAATTGATACAAGTACTTCTTGAATGCTCTTGTCGAAAGAGATGCTTCAAAGCTACAGAAAGTTGCGGTTATTCGCTTAGCATCCTGCAATTTCACCAGAAATACACCACCGTTTGTCGACTTCCCAACTGAGCTTCGAGATGTGATTCTCGGACACACTGGTTTCGTAGAAGGGGGATTGAACGTTGATGGCACGGTGATTGGTACGCCAAGTAAGGAAGGTGTACTCAAAGAATGTAACATAATCCGGAGCAAGGATATCCGGAATATCGTCATAGTAGGGACCTTCTCACCGATTGATGTTGAACATAAACAGGAAGAGGTCGTTCGGGATTGGATATTGGAAGAACTTGGTGACGTTAATGTTGTATGTTCAGCACATAGTACGCAACCCTGGCATCACTTTACACGAAAGCACTACTAATCTACATTGCCAGTTGGTCGCTTAGGTCTGCTCGAAAGAGAAAATGCGGCAATTCTCAATGCTTCAATGCTTAACATGAGTTCAATCTTCAGTAAAAGCCTTGAGAATGCCTTAGCGACGACGGGACTCAAGAAGACACCTCTTTTCGTCAGCTGCAATGATGGGACGATGATCTCTGTTGAAGAAGCAACACAGCGTCCTGTAGCAATTATTGCTAGCGGACCTCCCAACTCACTCATAGGTGCATCATCACTCATCAAACTAGGTGGGGACAGAATTCATCATGACCAAGCTGAAGCCATGATGGTTATTGACATCGGGGGTTCCACTAGCGATGCCGGTATGGTTCTAAATAATGGTTATCCAAGACAAGGTTCGGCGTATAGCGAGATAGCAAACGTCCGCGTCAATTTCCCAATGCCAGACGTTCAAAGCATAGGTCTTGGTGGGGGCTCAATTATCAAGACAGAATCCGTTCGAGGTTCGGTGGTCGCTGTCCAAGTAGGACCGACATCTCTAGGACATGAGTTCTCGAAGAGGGCTCTTTGCTTTGGAGGGAACATTATGACTGCATCAGACATAGCTATTGCTGCAGGAGACATGCCGAACTTCGGTGATACACCAGTCAACATTGACAGTTCCATTATCAAATCTGCCAAAGCTATAATGCAACTAGGACTCGAAAACCTAGTCGACAGCATCAAAACAAAAGCAACGCCTCTACCAGTTGCACTTGTCGGTGGCGCGGCAGCGTTATGCCAATCACCTCTTAGAGGAACATCCAAAGTACTTCACCACGAATACGCTTCGGTTGCAAATGCGATCGGTGCTGCAAGAGCAAAACTATCAACCACCGTTGACAAGATTGTGCCAATAGAAAATGGCAGATCTTCTGGAGAAGACGAGAAGATCTTGGAAAGTATAATCTCTGAGGCCAACAGAACTTGTGTGAAGAAAGGTGCTTCACGGGATAGTGTCAAGATCATATTTCAGGAACTTGTAGCTCTACCGTATATTGCTAACAAGGTTCGGGCTTACGTGCAGGTAGTAGGAGAGCTTGACAGATCAACTCCGAAGGCTACAGACATAGGAGTACAAATTCCCTCAACTACCACCTTTGCAGGAAGCAACGTGACAGCTACCAATTCCAGTCCTTCTACCGACTGGACATTCATCAACACCCCCTCCCAATCAAACCACCCAACAACCATCGACCTAAAAGAACCCTCCGCAATCGACGCCTACAAACCCAAGATCACCAACGGCACCTGGCACATCTCCCCAACAGACCTCTCCTTCCTCTCAACAGGAACCTACATCCTCGGCTGCGGCGGTGGCGGCTCCCCCTACCTCACAACCCTCGAAGCGCACTCCTGTCTCCAACGCGGCGAATCCCTCCGCATAACCGACATCTCTGCCGTCCCCTCCAATTCCCTCCTCCTACCCGTCGTCTGTCTCGGCTCCCCTATTATCGGTATCGAACGACCCGGCGGAAACCTCTCTCAAGACGCTCTAACCAACATGCTCGCCCACCTCGATAAAAAGTCATTCTCGGCAATCATATGCGTGGAAGTCGGCGGCGCAAATGGAATGATGAACCTCATCGTCGGATCCTCCCATAACGTCCCGATCATCGACGGCGATCTTATGGGTCGCGCGTTCCCTAGTTTCGAGAAAATCACACCCTATGTGTTTAGTAGCGGTGATATCAACGAGCTTCTCCCTGTGAGCATGTCCAGTGGTGACGGTACTGATTTCATCATGACGCACGCAAAGGATTTGAAGATGGTGGACCGCACGCTGCGCGCTCTGCTGGTGGAAATGGGATGTGCGGCGGGGATGGTGCAGAGGCCTATGAGCGGGAAGGAGATGGCGGAGACGGGGGTGTTGAGGAGTCACTCCCTCGCGTGGAGGTTAGGGAGGGCGGTCGCGAGGTGTAAGGCTAGTCAGTCTATTGGGGAGGTGGGCAGTGCGGTTGTTAATGAGTTCGGTGGGGAGGGGGCTGCGAGGGAGATTTTTGGGGGCAAGATTGTGGGGAGTGAGGAGAGGATTGTTGGTGGGCAGAGTTATGGGGAGGTGAGGATTAGGGGATCGCAAATCTCCAAGCAACATCGTGAAGGAACTGAGAAGGAAGATGAAGTGTTGAGGGTGGTTTTTAATAACGAGAATTTAATCGCAGAACTCCAATCCTCATCCAACAAACCAAAGGTATGTTCCCTTCCCTCTTCCTTCCCCTCTCACTAACACCCCTCCTCTCTAAGATCCTCGCAACCGTCCCCTCCCTAATAATAATCCTCGACGCACTCACCGGCACCGCCCTAGGCGTCCCGGAATACAGATTCGGTCTTAAAGTGCTGGTTCTCGTTGCGGCGCCGTCGCCTATCTGGACGAGCGAGAGGGGGTTGGAAATTGCGGGGCCTAAGGCTTTTGGGTGAGTGAATTCTTTTGTTTATTGTTCGTGGGATAGGGGAAAGGGAGAAGAGGGGAGATGTATAGTTATGTTTTTGCTGACTGTGTGTTAGATTTGATGATATAGATTACATACCTGTTGGGAAGTGGAGGGAGCCGAAGAGTGTTATTGAAGAGTTTTCTTGATATCATGCGAGGAGAATTTGGCTGCGTGGATGTTGGATTTTGGTTTTTGGCTTTAAACTGGTAACGATATCTTGGTTAAAAGGGGTGAGTTTCAAAATCATGTATTGCAAGTTCGAAATTGGTTAATAGGATTGGAAAGATATTTAGGACTTCAAAACGTTTATAAGTGCGAAACCTGTGTATTGAGATCTTAAACTTATCTAGGCAGTTTAAATAGAACGAGACAGTCTTGAGACGAGTAGTGTGAACTAGAGTACGACGTTCTAAATTAAACACCTGCCTAAAATTTCGAATAAAGTGTTATCATGTTCGCTATCCAAACCACCAATAAGATACTCCACCAGAAATCCAGTGGAAATAGTTAACTTAATTCTCAATAGTCCACCTCAACCCACCCACCCAAACCCTCATTAACCCCACCCATCCCATCCCATCACCCCCAACCTCCATCCACCCCCTAGACCAGAATCCCCATTCTTTACGCACACTCTCTACGACTCCTGGCGGGTGCGTTTCATACGACATCGTTCTAGTTATCAACGTGCTCGTCTCGAGGGATGTAGGTTTCATGGTGCGTGGTTTAATGTTTTTCGGGGGATGGATGGGTACTGCTTAATCTATCTAGAGAGAGGTACATGATGGAGGGTGGATGTTGAAGGCATTGAAATTTTATAAATTTAGTGTAAACTATGAGATCTTTATTCTCCAGCAAAAACACCGCGCGACTTAATTCGAGAACTCACGTAAAACCCAAGAATCAACTGGGGCAGTAACTCAAAGTGGGATGCACATTTTACGCCCTTTCAACACCACAACGGTGGAGCCCCTCATATATCTTCTACATCAACCAAATCAGGTGACTCATCCAAAACTTATATACCACAGAAGCCCATTTACCTCAACATACATATATATAATACAGAGTGGGAATATCAACATCCATACATCCCCCACGACGGGAGGACGTCAGATGACTCACCGAATCCTTATATATCTTACAAACCCATCTCTTAATTATACAGCCCCTAACTCCATCAACCCAACCACCTACTTAAACTCCATACACCCAGCAACCTCCCAACCCAACACAATGCCCCTCCACATCCTCCCCCTAACCCTTCCCGACTTCCTCACCCTCACCATCCAAGGCTTTCACGCGCCTGGGATCGACCTAACAGGCCAACCCACACCCCTCTGCTGGCCCATCACCACCCACGGCGAAGCACAAACACGTTTAGACTTCCACTTTGCGAAGCAGAAAGAGAGATTCTTGCACGATCCCACGGTGCGGTATATGAAAGTCGTCGATACCACGGACAAGGAGGGGGAGGCGATTATGAGTATTGCGCGGTGGCACTTCTATCCCGCTGGCTATGACTATGAGACGGAAAGTCATTGGGAGGTTTATGATTTAGACACCATCCCGAACGTGCCGGGTGGGTTTAACATCAGATTATACAACCACATCCTCAGCACCCGCGATTCCGTAAGGCCATCCTGGATCCCCCCCAACGAACCGTGTTGGATATTAATGCATCTCGTAACGCACCCTGCGTATCGCGGACGGGGAGCGGCGGGGAAGCTAGTGCAATGGGGGATCGAGCAGGCGGAGGCGAGTAAGACGCGTGCGTATCTGGAGGCTGGGGTGATGGGACGGCCGGTGTATGAGAGGTTTGGATTTGAGCAGGTGGGAGAGTTGTTGGAGGTTGATTGTAGGGGATTTGGTGTTAAGATGAGCATGGCGATGTGTAAGATGGTTTATGTTCCGAAATCTTTTGAAGAGGGGAGTGGGGAGGTTGGGGAGGCGGAAGAGTAAAATGGCCTACTCAATTCCAAGATCTGATGAGTTCTCGGTACTTTTAGGAGTTTGTGGTCGTGTTCGAGACCTAGTACCCACAATGCCGGGCGTTGGATTGTCCTGAAGAAGCTTGTTGGTCTTTCTCTAGTCGCCCTTTCCAACAAATCGAACCCGAACTTCACCATTTTCCCTCCTTGGTGAATCCGACCAACCATCAAAGTCTCCCTCAGAATTCGGTGACGACTGAACCCGCTTGACCAAGGCAGCTTTAGAGATTACATCGGCCTTCTTCTTCCCCCACTTCTCGCGGAGAACCTTCGATCTTTCCTCCTTGTAGAGAAACTGTTCCCGAAAGCCAGGTTCCCTCAGTTTCGCCTGAGCCTCACTTATCTTCTTTCTCACTACAATGGGCGAGTCTTGTGGCTTGACCGCCTTCCGAACTACTTTGAATAGCTCAGGGTCTTCTTGGCCCAGTCTTGAGAGTGTCTGTTGTTGAGCCTGATAGTTGTCGGCCATCGAGAGCAGGACCGACGCTGGGGTGTGCTTTTCTGATAGACGTCGAATGACCGGCTCGATTGCTGGGTCTGTAGCCCTAATCTTTGCAAATGCCTCGTTTCTCTTCTCGGCGTGGGTCTTGTATTCAGGCGAATTTTTCTGTTCTGCCTTGATTCGCTTTCGTTCCCACTTCATCGGTATGCCCGCTCCCTGAGCGTCCAACTCCAGCAGCGTTTGTTTCCTGCGCATGACGACTATGTCATTGGCTTTTTTTGTCATCTGCAGGTTCGAAGATAAATCGACTTCACCACGCGGAGCCAGTACGAAAGCACATTGTGATCTGTGATTAGCCCAAGGACTTATGATGGTTTCGACCTCGGTGTCTCCCATGGCTTTCAACAATACATCAGGCCGCAGATGAATCGCATTTGGATGATTCAACTCGGCATCAAATTTTGTCCTGTCCTTTTCCGCCATGCTGTTTTTCAGATGGATATGGAATTCCATGTTATTCTTCACGCGGAGTTGGTGCCATGATTTCAACATTGTGTTCATGAAATGTTGTGCTGGAACGCTAGTTTTGAAATGTACTCCTTTGGCGCCACGACCTTTGAGACCGACGAGCTTTTTAGGTAGAATATTAAGACCCTTTTCTTTTGAAATGTCAAGCTCCTTCAACATGTACTGCCCATCCGAGCCAACTTTCGAACCTTTGGTGATAAGAGGAGTAAGAAGGGTGCCGGACTTGAGATAATTCTCCAACACATCTGCCAGAGTTGTCCGCTTCTCATGCTTCAAAGGCTTCTCCATCCATATGTCCAATTTTACGTCCTCTGGTTTGGCATAATCGTGGTATCGCTCAAAGTCCTTGATTTTGTAATTGTTCGTATCGCCTGACTTTGCGGTGAGGTATAGATTTAGAAAGCGGCATTGCTGCGCGAACAGTGGTGTGAGTTTACAGGCGATCGAGCGCCGCGCAAGCTTGAGGGGATTTAAGTTGTGTGGACTCAGGATCATCTCATCGAATTTCGAGTTGCGGGGCCAGGTAGGCAGAGCGAATTCGATCGGCCGAGGGAGCGTGGAAGAGTGTAATTATCCTGAGTGTTGAAGAGAGGACCTGCGACGCATATAAATTTTGGGTGAGGCTCGAGCTGAGCAACAGGGCTGTGAACAAGGCTTCGGCTTTAGCTCAGCTGTCGGGGTTATGTCAGATTGGGACGATCACGTGGAAGGTAATAGGATAAGTCTAAAGATTAAAGAAATATAACCTACAGATATAAGATCCTACACAAGCAGTGACTTTAGGCTATTTTTATTTTATGGCAATAAATCCTCTAATCCAACTAATTTTCTAGGATTAATACCGCGAAAATTTAATATACCCACTAATAAGTACAACTTAATTATCGACCCTAATCTACCTCACTCCACCATTCATTCTTCCTAGTACAGGATATAACTATAGATCAATTCTTATAATCAAAACACCCTACATGTTTCATCTCAATTAATAACAGGTTCCACCCCCTTCCCATCTCGCCAACTCCTCAATATCTCACTCTGTTCATAATACCAATTATTCAGCGTCTCTTCCTCAACATACCCCGTATGAGGCGTAAGCAGCACCTGGCTCGTCCCGTCTTGACCCCAATTCGTCGTCCTCCACTTGCTATCAAGCGGCAGAGGTTCCAGCGCAAAGACATCGAGAGCAGCTCCTTTGATGGCTCCGTTACTGAGACACTGAAGGAGTGCGTCTTCGTCGACTAGTGGTCCTCTGGAGGTGTTGATGAACAGAGCACTTCTTTTCATCAATTTGAGGTCTTCCGCACCGACAATACCTCTTGATCGGTCGGAGAGAACGTAGTGTACGCTCAAGACATCCGCGTTCTTGAATAACTCTTCTTTGGAAACAAGCCGGAATGTCTTGTCACCGTCTTCGTCCTCGATTGGAAGGCCTGCGTTTGTAGCCTTTTCATCCGCGGTTTCCTGGGTTAGGTTTGAGCTCCAAGCGATAATCTTCATACCAAACGCTGAGTACATGATCTTGCCAACAGCAATGCCCAACCTTCCAAGTCCGAGAAGTCCAAGAGTTTTTCCTGTCAATCCCGTTGACAGCCCTAACTGCCATTCTCCGCGCTTGACAGCATCGTTGTCACGAGCAAGATTCTTTGCGATTCCTAGAATGAGAGCAACTGTATGCTGGGTAGTCGAATCCGGACCTTTTCGTTTCGTAGGGGTAATAGCTTGTGCATTTGGTGGTCTTTTGTTAGTAGTACCAGTTACTGTGATACCAAGCTCTTTTGCAGCTACCATATCGATACCTAGATTCCGAGTAGCAGTCGTGAGAAGGAGTTTGAGTCCGGGCAACTGCTGCAGAAGCTCTCTGGGGAAGGGAGTGCGTTCACGCATCGAAGATACGATAGTAAACGGCTTCAATCTATTTACTATCTGTTTCTTAACATCGTCTGTAGTATCCGGATGGTTGTATGGGGGTAGAGTATCAGAGAACCATTCGAACTTGAACCCAGGTTCTAAAGTCTCAAAATATGTCTTCGACGTGCCAGCGTAGTCGTCTAGAACGGCGACCTTCACCCCCTTGGGCGGGATTGGTGGCATCTTGAAATTCGTGGTTGTGTAGGTATATCGAAAAGTTGGAACACGTTGTACGGCGTGCGAGGAATAGTGTGTCGTGTAGATGGGCTTGACAATAGCACCTGGGACAGATAAAAAGTTGAGAATTCTCGTGCTTGACTGCACAACATTCGTTGTTTTTAACATCTTTGACAAATCGTGGCTCAAGGTGGGGTAGCGATTTCGCAATCACCTGCACTCGAGAGCCGCATGACGCAAGATTGAACAGACAGAGGAAGTACGTGGCATTGTAACAATAATGAAGATACTTACCTTAGCTGTCTTACCTGGTGCGGCCAAAGAGTAACACGGTGTACTTATGATCAAAGTACTTCTTGACAATGGAATCTTAAACCACGGACGCAAAAGTGCTTGGCCGGGCAGAGTGTATCGTTACGTGACATGGCCCGCGACTTATTCCGTCTTGAGTCCCACGTGAGTCCGTACCTGACTGAAGGACGGCTCGACACCTCCACGGCAAGGATGTCTCCTCGGTGGATTACTCCACAAGTTAAAAGACTCAAAGTCCATGCACGCCAACCTTTGCGGTGATGATTGGCGCGCGAGAACAGCCTCAGAGTCCGTCTCTGGGGGATCGGCTTTATTCACGCCGACCTGTGCTGCCCCACCAAACCAGCACAACCACATGAGTTCTTTACACGGCGGTTGTAATTCTCCAGACGGCGAATAGTGGAAAAGTGCCTGGCAGAATGCTCGTCGGACGCATCGTAGGTGGGGTTTCAAACAAAGTTCACGTTGTAGTCCCGTAAAGTAGTGTGCTCTTACCCTATTGCCCCTCCTTGACCTCTGCAGCCGATACGGGTCGGTTCAAATACTTTGTAGAAGTAAGTCTCTTATACATCCTTCCGCTCGTCCAACAGGATACAAAGTCGACTCGCATTTCTCCATCACCAAATAGAGTATCCCAGCTTCATTGCTAACATCATGTCTCCCTCAGCAGTCGATATCGTCTCGGCCCCATCAGCCATGGAAAAACCCACCAAATCCAACATCGGAGTATACACAAACCCTGAGCATAAGCTCTGGGTCGGAGAAGCCCAACCATCCGTGGAAAGTGTCAGCAAAGGAGACAGTTTGAAGCCAGGAGAGGTGACAGTCGGGATCAAGAGTACTGGTATCTGCGGGTAAGTGAGATCACAATTCTGCAAGAATAATTCTAATCAATGTTAGCTCTGATGTCCACTTCTGGCACGCCGGGTGTATTGGGCCCATGATCGTCGAAGACACTCATATTCTCGGACATGAATCCGCTGGAGTTATATTGGCAGTCCATCCGTCAGTTGACACGCTCAAAGTTGGAGACCGAGTAGCAGTTGAACCCAATGTTATCTGTAACGAGTGCGAGCCATGCTTGACCGGGCGGTATAATGGTTGTGAGAAGGTCCAGTTTCTGTCGACACCTCCGGTGGCAGGTCTACTCCGCAGATACGTCAACCACCCAGCGATGTGGTGTCACAAGATCGGCGACATGTCTTTCGAGGACGGAGCAATGTTGGAGCCATTGAGTGTTTCTTTGGCAGCTATGCAAAGATCCGGTGTGCGATTGGGAGATCCAGTACTCATCTGTGGCGCTGGGCCAATTGGACTCATCACACTCCTCTGCTGCAAGGCTGCCGGCGCATGTCCTATTGTGATCACAGATATCGATGAAGGCAGACTGCAATTCGCAAAGAATATCGTGCCTGACGTGATCGTACACAAGGTCGAGCGAGTCTCAGCAGAGGAATCTGCAAAGGCCATTGTGGCATCCTTCGGAGGCATCGAACCAGCAGTGGCTCTTGAATGTACAGGCGTGGAGAGCAGCGTCTGCGCTGCGATCTGGGCCGCGAAATTCGGAGGCAAGGTGTTCGTGATTGGCGTTGGAAAGAACGAGATGACAATTCCGTTCATGAGACTCAGTGTGCGCGAGATTGACCTACAATTTCAGTACAGATATAGCAACACCTGGCCAAGAGCGATTAGATTAGTGCAAAGCGGCATTATCGACATGAAGAAGTTGGTCACTCATCGATTCCAGCTCGAGGACGCCGTGAAGGCTTTCGAGACGGCTGCGGACGCGAAGACTGGCGCCATCAAGGTGCAGATCAAGAGTGAGGATTGAACTAGACGGTGATTAGGCATTAGACAAATAACTACCAGCGCATACGACCCGGAACTGAACAGGCTGAAACTGCGGCGACAGTCAATCAAGAAATAGAGAAGAATGTTCTTTAGATTCCGGGTCATTGCGTCGAGCTGTCGACCAGCTCTGCACGACTTCCACCTATCTTCCAGTGGGTGAAATAGGCGGCTGTAAGTTGTGCTGTTGTAATTGTCTAGAATAAAATAAGAATAAATCCACAAGATTGGCAATAATTTGAAGAGATGTAGAACTCGATCGATTGCTTTTGTCAAAGTCGAGTGATTCAAAATTCAAGGGAAGCTCGCTCAGAGCCACAAATGATGGTTCCCAAGCTTGGACCACAACCTGACCATTGCGTCAATTCAAATCTCTGTACCCGTTCTCCGGCGAAGTAGATTTCCCTCGTGCGATTGTATTCCACGACCAATTGCTTGCTCATCAACCATACAGGCATCACGCAAACCCGTTCACCAGAGCTTCTGGCCCATCTCATAACCACGATGTCGTCGAACGTCTCGCGCGCCGTTCTGCGGCAATCCACCAAGCTCTCTGGACGTACCGCACGCCGATGCCAATCGACGACCACAAAGGCCACCGAGGCAGCGAAGGATACAACGGCAAAAGCCACCGAAGCAGCGAAGGAGACAACAGCAAAGGCTTCTCAAACCGCTTCAGAGTACACGTCGAAAGCTTCAGAGGGTCTCTCGAGGGTGACTTCTTCTGCTGGCCCAGCAATCAGCGGTGCCGCGAAGGGTTTAGGGAACGCGCTTGGCAAGATTGGAGGAAGGACTGGGAAGTTAATTGCGTTTGTTGAGCGTAAGTAACTGCAGCTGCCACTTGCCCGCATCTTCGAGATATACGTTTATTGCCAAGCGTTCAATGGCTAATCAAGCGCTTTAGGTCAAATTCCTCCTACCGTCTACTATGCCCGTGTTGGTATGGAGCTGTCAAAACTTGTCTTCAGAGGGCAGAAGATGACTCCACCGTAAGCTACACACTAATTGCGGAATAAAATTATAGCACTTTGACTGATTATCAATCTAGACCTGTGTCAACATTCCAATCCTACTTTCAATCCGCCCTCAAGAGCCTCCGCAATCCCGGCTCCCTAGTCTCCCAGACTACAAACTCATTACAGTCTCTCCGAAATATGGATAACGCCAAGTTGATATCAGGAGGTGTCGTAGCTGCCGAAGTAATTGGATTCTTCACTGTCGGTGAGATGATTGGCAGAATGAAGCTCGTCGGTTATAGAGGCGACACTGGTAGCCACCACTAGAGGGACAAACAAAACAGGAGGTTAAGAATGTGGAATGATTCCGAAGATAGATGGCAGGGCATTGATAGCTTTGAAAGCTACAGCGGTTAGAGCTGGGGTAACAAGGTTTCAATGTTTTATTTGCACATATCCTGCAACACTTTTCTTTGTATGTCTGTACTGTACATCAGGAGTCAATAAACAGCATAATTGTGGTTAGAAGAAGCGTTTTGAGCTCATAGTAGTGGGTGTTACTGCAGGAGGAAAATTCGCCGACTGGTAATGAGATAGTGATGTTGTCAACCCTAACACAGAGCAGAATACTTT